ACGTTTTTAAACGTTTGAAACCTTCTGGATTCAAAAATTGGGAGAGGGGGACCCAGATACTAATACTTTTATATGTTTGCAATATAAATAAATTTTCATATACTTTTATACTGGCAGCAGTTGTTCAGTGAAAGTAGAAGAGGTAAAGAGACCTAAGTGCCTCTTACATTCCCCAGAGAGAGTGTGAGATCTAACCTGAAACTTGGCGAGCAAATAAATAGACCAGAATTTCCCAAACGTTTTAAACATTGAAACCTTCTGGATTCAAAAATTGGGAGGGGGACCCAGATACTAATACATTTATATGGTTGCAATATAAATATTTTCATATACTTTTATACTGGCAGCAGTTGTTCAGTGAAAGTAGAAGAGGTAAAGAGACCTAAGTGCCTCTTACATTCCCCAGAGAGAGTGTGAGATCTAACCTGAAACTTGGCGAGCAAATAAATAGACCAGAATTTCCCAAACGTTTTTAAACGTTGAAACCTTCTGGATTCAAAAATTGGGAGGGGGACCCAGATACTAATACTTTTATATGGTTGCAATATAAATATTTTCATATACTTTTATACTGGCAGCAGTTGTTCAGTGAAAGTAGAAGAGGTAAAGAGACCTAAGTGCCTCTTACATTCCCCAGAGAGAGTGTGAGATCTAACCTGAAACTTGGCGAGCAAATAAATAGACCAGAATTTCCCAAACGTTTTTAAACGTTGAAACCTTCTGGATTCAAAAAATTGGGAGGGGGGGACCCAGATACTAATACTTTTATATAGTTTGCAATATAAATATTTTCATATACTTTTATACTGGCAGCAGTTGTTCAGTGAAAGTAGAAGAGGTAAAAAAGACCTAAAGTGCCTCTTACATTCCCCCAGAGAGAGTGTGAGATCTAACCTGAAACTTGGCGAGCAAATAAATAGACCAGAATTTCCCAAACGTTTTTAAACGTTGAAACCTTCTGGATTCAAAAAAAAATTGGGGGGGGACCCAGATACTAATACTTTTATATGGTTTGCAATATAAATATTTTCATATACTTTTATACAGTTGTTCAGTGAAAGTAGAAGAGGTAAAAGAGACCTAAGTGCCTCTTACATTCCCCCAGAGAGAGTGTGAGATCTAACCTGAAACTTGGCGAAGCAAATAAATAGACCAGAATTTCCCAAACGTTTTAAACGTTGAAACCTTCTGGATTCAAAAATTGGGAGGGGGACCCAGATACTAATACTTTTATATGGTTGCAATATAAATATTTTCATATACTTTTATACTGGCAGCAGTTGTTCAGTGAAAGTAGAAGAGGTAAAGAGACCTAAGTGCCTCTTACATTCCCCCAGAGAGTGTGAGATCTAACCTTGGCTTGAGCAAATAAATAGACCAGAATTTCCCAAACGTTTTTAAACGTTGAAACCTTCTGGATTCAAAAATTGGGAGGGGGACCCAGATACTAATACTTTTATATGGTTGCAATATAAATATTTTCATATACTTTTTACTGGCAGCAGTTGTTCAGTGAAAGTAGAAGAGGTAAAAGACCTAAGTGCCTCTTACATTCCCCCAGAGAGAGTGTGAGATCTAACCTGAAACTTGGCGAGGCAAATAAATAGACAGAATTTCCCAAACTTTTTAAGCGTTGAAAACCTTCTGGATTCAAAAAATTGGGAGGGGGACAGATACTAATACATTTATATGGTTGCAATATAAATATTTTCATATACTTTTATACTGGCAGCAGTTGTTCAGTGAAAGTAGAAGAGGGTAAAAAAGACCTAAGTACCTCTTACATTCCCCAGAGAGTGTGAGATCTAACCTGAAACTTGGCGAGCAAATAAATAGACCAGAATTTCCCAAACGTTTTTAAACGTTGAAAACTTCTGGATTCAAAAATTGGGGGGGGGGACCCAGATACTAATACATTTATATGGTTGCAATATAAATATTTTCATATACTTTTATACTGGCAGCAGTTGTTCAGTGAAAGTAGAAGAGGTAAAAGAGACCTAAGTGCCTCTTACATTCCCCAGAGAGAGTGTGAGATCTAACCTGAAACTTGGCGAGCAAATAAATAGACCAGAATTTCCCAAACTTTTTTAAACGTTGAAAACTTCTGGATTCAAAAATGGGAGGGGGGGGACCCAGATACTAATACATTTATATGGTTTGCAATATAAATATTTTCATATACTTTTATACTGGCAGCAGTTGTTCAGTGAAAGTAGAAGAGGTAAAGAGACCTAAGTGCCTCTTACATTCCCCAGAGAGAGAGTGAGATCTAACCTGAAACTTGGAGCAAATAAATAGACCAGAATTTCCCAAACTTTTTAAACGTTGAAACCTTCTGGATTCAAAAAATTGGGAGGGGGGGGACCCAGATACTAATACATTTATATGGTTGCAATATAAATATTTTCATATACTTTTATACTGGCAGCAGTTGTTCAGTGAAAGTAGAAGAGGTAAAAGAGACCTAAGTGCCTCTTACATTCCCCAGAGAGAGTGTGAGATCTAACCTGAAACTTGGCGAGCAAATAAATAGACCAGAATTTCCCAAACGTTTTTAAACGTTGAAACCTTCTGGATTCAAAAATTGGGATGGGGGGACCCAGATACTAATACATTTATATGGTTGCAATATAAATATTTTCATATACTTTTATACTGGCAGCAGTTGTTCAGTGAAAGTAGAAGAGGTAAAGAGACCTAAGTGCCTCTTACATTCCCCCCCCAGAGAAACTTTTTTGTTGAGATCTAACAGATGAAACATTTATATAGTTTATGATATAATACTGGCAGCAGTTGTTCAGTGAAAAATAAGACCTAGATTTCCCCAGAATTCTAACCAAACGAGCAAATAAATTTTAAACGTTGAAAACTTCTGGATTCAAAAATTGGGAGGGGGGGACCCAGATACTAATACATTTATATGGTTGCAATATAAATATTTTCATATACTTTTATACTGGCAGCAGTTGTTCAGTGAAAGTAGAAGAGGTAAAGAGACCTAAGTAGAGAGAGTGTGAGATCTAACCTGAAACTTACATTTTCCCCCAGAGAGAGGGTGAGATCTAACCTGAAACTTTTTACTGGCAGAGTTGTTCAAATAAATAGACCAGAATTTCCCAAACAAATTTCCCAAATAAGCGTTGAAAATTTCAAAAACTTTTTTAAACGTTGAAAACTTCTGGATTCAAAAATTGGGAGGGGGGACCCAGATACTAATACTTTTATATGGTCGTAATATAAACATTTTCATATACTTTTATAAAAATAAGTACGTTCAAAAAGCAATTAACAAATAATACATGATATATATATTTTAATAAAAATATGACTTTTTAAATTTTCATACTTCCCACAAGTAACACGTGGAAGAGGATTACGAACAATGTTAACATGAAATTTATTTCATACGTAATCAGAATATTTTTGTAACATTTAATGAGAACAATGCTTCCGTTTCATATTGTCAAATCATTTTTTAATGTTTCGCTTTATACGTGAGAATTTGATCCTCAAGTCAGCAGCAGGATTAAGTAGATTTCGGTGTTTAGATTGTATGTCAGCGTAATAAGAAAATCCACTTTCATATAAGTAGGTTGGTGTTGTGTTTTTAACCGGAATGTATACACACGAAAGTTACGCCAAAGAGAGTCAATTAACAGACAGAGCTTTTTTCCAAGATGGCGAAAAAATTAACTTTCAGGTTGATGTAGCATCATAGTACACAGATGATATCACAATCATTAACTACTTTTCAATTCAGCAATAGCATGATACAATTGTCATTCACTAATAATATACGATATAGAAAAGTATTACAAAATACATCCCAACATTACAGAACAATCTAAATCTGTTGGCAACTATTCTTTTTTATAGAAATTATTTACCATCCTTCATAATGTGTTATGTTAAACATTTCTTACTCTGAACTTTTGTAATGGAACCCCAGACACACCTTTTGCAGAACCCCTGGGTTCTTCGGGACCCAATTTAAGAAGCCCTGAAATAGCAAAATTATGGAAAACAGGATTTTTTTTTTTTTTGTTTTCATTTCAAGCTGTGTTGTTATTGTCCCCTTCCTCCCCACCACCTATTTAATTTTTGTTCACCAACAATCTTTCCAGAATGGTCTTCAATTGTTGCACAACAGTCAAGTATCTGATGTTTTTATGACCAGCTGTAAAGTCTATGAAGTAAGATCTTCAAAGTGGCCAACCATTTGACTAAAAGTGATAAATAAAAACTTTTGGGATAAAGTGCAACTTGACTGGAAGTTAGGAAGTTCCGGATTCTGTCATGTAGTTATAAAATCCTAGCTATTCCTAGCTATAATTTCAAGAGAAGTAAACACAGATTTTTACAAATTAAAACCATTTGTGGCCTTGTCTTACAATCAAAAGGAAAGCATCCTCCCCCCATGCACAAGGTTTTTGTCACATGTGTAAGCAAAGATTTCTGGCTGAGGAAATCCCGAAGAAGGAAAAAAAAAAAAAAACGACTTGAATAAATAACATCAAGTAGAAGTTGTTCATTATGGTAACATCACAGACGAGATAATTAGGCGTCCTTTATTTAACAAAATTCTTACAACTGGTTATGTGGAGCATTGTAATAATAATGAATAAAAAGCAATTACAGCATTTATTTGGCTTATTGATACACAATAAGAGAGATTAAGAGAAATTAGTCACTCTTGTCAGCTGATAAAAAGCATAAGTGGAGGATTTGTAAAAAAAAAAAATTGTGTCTTATTACAAAGGAAGAGAAATGTGTTATGTGGAAACGGTAGAATTTTATTGGTCAAAAAGAGCAAGTGTTTGAGTTTCAGGGCCATATTTGTTCTAGACTTGGGCTGTTAAAAAATATAACAAATTAAAATATTAAATGTAGATCTTGTTGATGATATATAAACTTTAAGCCGGGAAAGTTTTTTTTTTTCTTACTAATGTTACATTAAGTATTTTCAATTTAAGCATTCGTCTTAGAGAAGCATTTCATTAGCTTTGAAGAAGAAGAGGGAGGGGAAGGAGAAGCAGAGAGAGAAGAATAAAAGAAGAAAAATAAGTATAAAAAGAAGCAAAAAGAAAATACAGGGAAGCAGAAGAAAATGAAAGAAAAGGAAAAGAAAAAGAAGAAAGTGAAAGAAGAAAGGGAAGCAAAAGAAGAAAGGCAAGGAAAAGAAGAAGAAGAAGAAAAAGAAGAAAAGGGCAAACAAAAGAAAAAGAAACAAAAAAGAAAAAGGCAAGGAAAGAAGAAGAAGAAGAAGAAGAAGAAGAAAGGCAAGGAGAGAAGAAGAAGAAGAAGAAAGGCAAGGAAAGAAGAAGAAGAAGAAGAAAGGCAAGGAAAGAAGAAGAAGAAGAAGAAAGGCAAGGAGAGAAGAAGAAGAAGAAGTAGAAGAAAGGCAAGGAGAGAAGAAGAAGAAGAAGTAGAAGAAAGGCAAGGAAAGAAGATGAAGAAGAAAGGCAAGGAAAGAAGAGGAAGAAGGAAAAGAAAAAGAAGAAAAGGCAAGGAAAGAAGAAGAAGAAGAAAGGCAAGGAAAGAAGAAGAAGAAGAAAGGCAAGGAGAGAAGAAAAAGAAGAAAGGCAAGGAGAGAAGAAGAAAAAGAAGAAAGGCAAGGAAAGAAGAAGAAAAAGAAGAAAGGCAAGGAAAGAAGAAGAAAAAGAAGAAAGGCAAGGAAGAAGAAAGGCAAGGAAGAAGAAAGGCAAGGAAGAAGAAGAGGAAGAAGAAAGGCAAGGAAGAAGAAGAGGAAGAAGAAAGGCAAGGAAGAAGAAGAGGAAGAAGAAAGGCAAGGAAGAAGAAGAGGAAGAAGAAAGGCAAGGAAGAAGAAGAAAAGAAGAAAGGAAGAAGAAGAGGAAGAAGAAAGGCAAGGAAGAAAGAAGGAGGAAGAAGAAAGGAAGAGGAAGAAAGAAGAAGAAGGCAAGGAAGAAGAAGAGGAAGAAGAAAAACAAGGAAGAAGAAGAGGAAGAAGAAAGGCAAGGAAGAAGAAGAGAGGAAGAAAGAAAGGAAGAAGAAGAGGAAGAAGAAAGGCAAGGAAGAAGAAGAGGAAGAAGAAAGGCAAGGAAAGAAGAAGAAGAGGAAGAAGAAAGGCAAGGAAAGAAGAAGAAGATGAAGAAGAAAGGCAAGGAAAGAAGAAGAAGATGAAGAAGAAAGGCAAGGAAAGAAGAAGAAGAAAGGCAAGGAAAGAAGAAGAAGAAAGGCAAGGAAAGAAGAAGAAGAAAGGCAAGGAAAGAAGAAGAAAAAGAAAAAGAAGAAGAAAGGCAAGAAAAAGAAAGTGAAGCTAAAGAAATAGTAGTAAATGACCGTTGGCAATGTTGCCAATTGATTGGCCAAACAGAGAGAGATGAAAGCAAATAAATCAGGTTTGTGTTCAAATGTATTGATAAGGAAACCATTAAGTAGATGATTCTCAAAATGTTATTCAGAAACACATTCCTTTCTGGAAATCAAAGTCCAACTTTGAAAGATTTGTTTTGAAAAATAAGAATCTTTTGGCATCAACACAATTGGCAGGAAACGTCATCACATCAAAATTTATTCAAAGTGAGAAGAAAAAATATATAACAATAATTTGGGATGCAAAACGACAGATCATTGACATGGGATCGGAAAAACAAAATTCTTCAGATACAACAGCAGTCGTCCAAGAAAAGATGGAAAAGACAAATTCCACCCCTCCTCTGTTTTTTTTTTTTTTATTAATTTTTAAATATAAATGCTTTTCCCAACCTATTTTAGATCATGTTCATTAAAAAGAAGACATTGCCACCAAAAATAGTCAGATAACCTTTGGAATTGAAAATAGTCACCAATCTTGAATGCTAAATTACTGCAGCAAGAAAAAACAAAAAAACATTTTCGAGTGTAACCTTAGAAACTGCCGACGATGTTCCCTACAGAATCTTGTTTTTTAATCACAGCCAAATTGCAAAGATTTGCTATTTGCAACCAAAAGAAACTAAATAAATTCCTTGAAACACTTAAAGAAAATCCAGTTATTTTTAATTTAACTCATCGAAAGCCAAGAATCCTTAAAAAAAAAAAAAAAAAAAAAAAAGTATTTTTTCATGGTTGGTTTGTTTAAAGTTAATTAATAGGCATGAGATTTTATCTGAATAATAGCATTACAAAAAAAAACAAATTCATTTTTTGTTAAATTGTCAAATCGCAAAATAAAGAAACTGGAATGATTAGTTTTGATAGATCACTAAGCTCAAAATGGTTGATAACCAAATGTTTTGACAATCATGATCTCAAGACTTGTAACCCATTACAGCAGGCCAATTTTGGAAACATGGTATTGCACTCAATTTGTAAGTTGGGGTTTGACATAATAAATAATGACATAAAATGTTTTTTTCCAAATCGTTACCATTTTTTGAGGAAAAATGTTTAAAGATTAAGCTTAGGTTCAAAAGTGTAGGGTTGGAATTTAACTTTGGTGATCAGTGACAGCTTTATAGGATGGCCTTTTAAAATCTATAATATACTGAAGCTTTAAAAATTCTATATTGACAAGGTGCATGGCACAAGCACATTATTATTAAATCATTGTCCTATCAAATAAAACCTTTATTTGCTTCAAAGAGAAATTACACTGAACAATGTTGCTATATTATGATGTAATATGTTATACAGTGCAGTAATTTTAGTGTTATTTTTCAATAAACAATGCAAATTTAAAATATTTTGTCTTATAATTTGTGCCCAGCAATATTATGGTGTTATATACACTTTTATCTATTTTTTGTTTTTATTAATTATCATCTAACAAATCTTATTTATTTATTGAGTAATATCCTTTATATATATATATATATATATATATATATATATATATATATATATACACTGTTTTTTTTATTGAATACAGTAAAAAAAAAAAAAAAAGTATATTTTGCTTGCGTTGATTCATAATTGGAATTCTAGTTTGAATATAATTTTTGCATTCAATATATCTAATACAAAAAAATATCAGCTTTTATTTGGATTTATTCTTGAAATAGTAAAATTTCAAAGTCAGTTTGTAAGCAAAAAACTATGGAAATTAGGTATTTCTATACATTTTTTTTCAGATGATCTTTAAAACTAAATGCTTAAAAATGCTTAAAAATTGGTAAACGCTACACTATGAATCTAATTTTTGATGTCAGTACTTCTCACATCAAACCCCAGCTTTCCCACAAGAGCAACGTTGATTTTCTAAAAAAAAAAAAAAAAAAAAAAAATCAATCTGCCCTAGTAAACTGCTGTTAGGATCATAGAGGTACCACATGTAATGCAGCTGCAGATGCAATGGTGTTTCCCAGGCAAGACAGCCCTTCGGAGTCCAACCATCTCCAGGCTGGTTTTGAATTCAGAGATTTTCCTTCTATTTGACAAGTTGCCACACAAGGCTAAAGCATTCAGTCTAAAATGCTATTATTTTTTTTTTTTTTTTTACAATGAACTGGAACAATTCTGTTTATAAATGTAGATCATATAAGTATATAACGTCATCTGAATATAAATATTCTTATCTCTATAAGTAAATTTAGATCCATTAAATACATTTCTAATGTGCAATTGATAAGAAACGGCAGCTTAGCATAGCAGTATGCAGCTCTATAGAACTGTCTTTTGCAGACGGAGAAAGAACTTTGAATAAAAGCATTGTGTATCGGACTAATTTAGAAGCATAGAAAAATAGGCAAGCAAAGAACTTGGCATTTTCTTTGACAAAGCGCATTACTTTTGTTGTTGATGTTCCTTTTACAGCTCATCATTTATTGGGTCAGAAAAAAATAGACAGACCAACTGGCACCAAAAACAAAAAAAAAAAATTTTGGCTGAAATGGAATTTTTTTCTTTTCCTTTCATATTAAGATTTGTTGATACAACATCATTAAAAAAAAAAAGTCTTTCTTCAAGAGCAATAACAGAGAAAGACTTTCTGCAATTTTTTCGCAAAAACTTTCAGAACCTCAGAAAAATTATAGCCAAAGATTTAAAATGGAACCAAGCATAACTGTCAATAAGTTCTTTAAAGTCGGTGCCAAACAGAATTTCATGGAATGTAGACTATATTGCTGGCACTGTACAATAGACAATGCAACCAGAAATAATAATTTTTTTTCAAAATGTTTTCATATTACGCAATTAAGCATTGCAGATTTAGTTATGTACCATGTGTAACATATGCTTAGGCAATCATGTATCTTTCAATACATGACTGATGAGGCAATTTTTTTCCCACAGTAGGTTGCCATTTCTTTCTGCGATAGACCAAGGCTATAGAACCTGGTCTGTCCTGCAATTTACCCATAGCTGGGAGGAGAAAAAGCGGATTCATACCTTTTCCAAGGGTATTAGCACGTAAGTGAATGCAATGGATTCGACTTGAATTCAAACACAGCACTCCGATTCCTCAATCCACGCCACTATCCATTACTCCACCATGTAGGTTACAAAAACATAAATAAATAAAAAAAGTAATTTATTAAATTTTATAGAATTTAATGGTGGGGGATGCAGCTTACTATTGAAATTCATTGTAGATTGATCCCCCTATTGAAGCCTAAACAAAATATATAAGATTTTTTTAAAGAATAAAGAAAACATTTTTTTTTTAAATTTTGAAATTCATAATCTGGGGTTTGTCTTACATATGTCATCAGTTAACAACTTCAGATTACAAATTTCAAAAGAGATTTTATATTTTTACATTTTAACAGATCGTGTTATATGAGCCTATTTTGTTTGGGATTCTGCAGGGCGGATCTATCTACAATGAATTTACATAGCAAACTGAACTCCCACATTAGCTTTTATAAAATTGAAGTTTTTTTTTTTTATTTTTGGTATTCATGATTTACAGTAATACAAAAAAAAAATTATTTCTAGTCAAAATGCCTATTGTACAACACCATCCTAATTTTTTTAGCATTTGTTTATAAGATAAAAGAATAACATATTTTATATATATATATATATATATATATATATATATATATATATATATATGGTGAAAAATATAGTTTTAAGATATGCTATATTTATGGATGAAACTGCTCAATATCAAGTATAGAACGTGTGCAAATATAAGAGTGGACACTGAAGTTAACACTGAGTGGGTGCTGACTTGTGTTCACTCTTTTATATGTCATATTGGCAGACATGGATAAACGTGCCCATGACATGGCTTTTTATTTTTTTTTTTTAAATACCTTCACTCTTCGGCAATGTTTGTCTTAAAAAAATGATGATTAAAATTGAAAGATTAGAAAAATGGTGCTTTTGACACTACATCTTATTGCAGACATGTTTATCCATGTTTTTCAAAATAAATAAATATATATATATATATATATATATATATATATATATATATATATATATATATATATATATATGTATGTATTTGACACTGAAGTCAACACTGAGCAGGTGTTAACTTGTGTCCACTATTTTTTATATATATATATATATATATATATATATATATATATATATATATATATACACACATACAGATACCTACAGAGTCTGCCCCAAAAATGTGTACACACTTCAGGAAAGGAAAAATCTGTCTTTCATAGTTTTATCAAATTGCGATAAAACTGTTTACTGTAGTACAATTTTTTTCTTGTTCGATGGCATTACATTGGTGGCTCTTAGACAAGAAATTGAAAATGCATATGAAACAATCCCACTGGGCGCTTTGGCCAACATTGCCCTATCAGTCATTCACTGTACTAATAAATCTCTCGAAGCTAAATGCCACCATTTTGAGCATCTCTTGTGATTATAAAGTTCAAAGGTAACTTGTATTAATGTTATGATGTCTGAATTAATGTCTGAATAAAATTTTGTATTCACAATATCTAGACATTTTGGGGGCAGACTCATATATATATATATATATATATATATATATATATATATGTCATTTGATGGAAAGTAGTAAAAGAACTTGGATTTCTCCTTGTATTTACATCACAAACCAAAATGGAAAAACCTGAAAAAACAGATTCTGATAAACAAGTCTTTAAACTCAATACAGTTGACAACCAAACATCTACTTGTAATCAAATCTTCTATCACCTTTTATTTTGGCAGAGCATGTGTGTTGTTGGGGGTTTGGGGATGTGTGTTTGTATGGGTGAGGGTTGGGGGAGAGTGGGGGCATGGGGGGGGTAGTGAATGCTGGAGACGTTTACTGAAACAGAAAAAAACTAAACGCAGACAAAAATCCACCTCATATTAATGTTTAATGTTTCTGCTGAGCAAAAAGAAGAAAAAAATAGTCTAAGTGCCAAAAAAAAAAAAAAAAAAAAAAAAAAAAAAAAAAAAAAAAAAAAAAAAAAAAAATCCCACCAGGTGAGAACTAGTCCATCATAATATTCAAAGAATATACTCTCTGTTTTCCTGTCTCTTTCTCTCTAGAAATGCTGTACAGTCTAAGAGGCTACAAATCTAACAGCAAAATTCGAGGGTCTTCCACCGCCTGTTTGATCTTTTTCAGGAAGAGCACACCTTCTCTGCCATCAATTAATCGATGATCATAGGTTAAAGCCACGTACATCATTGGGCGAATCTCCACCTAGGGGGTGCACAAAAAAAAAGGAGAAAGATATTTATCTTTAAATCAACAAATTTTAACAAATACCAAGCAAAAAAATAATCACTTTTGTTTTCAGCGGAATTGACACAAGTTAAAAGAGTCCTTTCAAAATTTCTTACAATCATTTTTATTGTCATTAAAATAATTTATTCTCCCATATACAACATATGAAGGCTGATTGAAAAGCATCAGGATCTGGCGCTATAAAAATAAAACTCCAGCACATATCAATTCGGCATTTAATCTCCTTCAAAGTAGTCCCCTTTCTGAAGCCATACATTTTATCCAGTGCATTTCCACGTGTTCCTTTCACGTGTGATTTGATTTTTAAAAAGGAAAAAGTCACAAAGGACAAGATCTCAGGAATATGGTGGCACAAGACATGGTCACTGATGGAATTTCTATGGTGTGATAAGACGACCACACTTTACACATTTTCCTTCCAAGCATTGCTATAAACAAAGGAAGTGAACGAGAACATAAAATGATGCACTTATAGGAAATGAACAAAATGCTTCTGAAATGTTAAAGAACTAATTTATTTTCATTGGTAGAACCTTTGTGGTGTGATAAGATGACCACACTCTACACACTTTCCTTCCAAGCACTGCTATAAACAATGGAAATGAACGAGAACATGAAATGATGCACTTATAGGAAATGAATAAAATGCTTCTGAAATGTTAAAGAACTAATTTATTTAGTTGAAATAGGCACCATGTTGATGAATGACTGTTCTTCAACATACTTGATCCCAACTTTAAAAAAGATTCTCATCCTATGATGTGATCAAATGCTTCAATTACTTCTTCCTTATTGGGGATTATTTTATTACATATGAAAAGCTTAACATGCATAAATAAGTGATAATCAGTAGGAGATACATCAGGTGAATAGGGAGGATGAAGCAACATTATATAATTCAAGCTATGCAGCTTCTGGTCAGTTGATGGAGAAGCATGGAGCCATGCATTGTCGTGCAGCAGAATTGGGCCAACCCTATTCACAGGTCTTTTTTCAATTTTCCATGCATTTCTCAACAATACTGGTTGCTGTTATTGTTTTCCTTTGAGGCAAAAATGAATAAAGAATAACCCCTTTGAAAGACCACCATAGAGTAACCATTAACTTTTTAGGGTGCAGTGGTGTTTTGGGGTATTGTTTTGGTCATTCTCTTGCATCTAACCACTGGCCTACTCTCTTACTGTTATCAAAGAATATCTATTTCTCATCGTATATAATGATTTGATGCAAAAATGATTCTTTTTTCCCAGTTTGTACTCCTACAGTAAGATTACTCAACATTGTATCATTGTAATCATTATCATTGGGCTTATGAGTAACAATATATTGAAAGAAAAATTATCTGGAAAGAAAAAGAGTCAAGAATAAGTCAAGATTTGTTTATATACTAAGGAGATTACTTCGTTTAGACGACCAGATCAACTACCAACCACAAAATGTGTCATTTCATGTGTGACAACATAATAATTTAGTTTGTATGCACAACAGAGTTCAAGGTAAATCTGGGACAAGTGGCTTCACTCTGCATACTTTAGTTTCATCACCATAGCAACAGTTCAAATATCATTTTGGTCAGACCATCTTTTCAGTTTTAAAAATGCCAAAATGTTTAGATTTATTCATCATACCTCCTCCAGAAGAATTTCTGAATTGGCTATGAGATTATGATTCAGTTTGATTACTGAAAAAGTAATTATTTGCAAAACAAACAATTTTAGGAGAGAAAAGTCATAAGAAAACAGGTGTCACAAGTATTACCCTACCTTGCCAGCAACTGCTACAGGTCGATCAAAAATTGCATGCATGCCAAGAATTGCTGATTGGGGAGGGTTAATGATGGGTGTGCCAAACATCGACCCAAACACCCCACCATTGCTAATTGTAAATGTACCTCCATCCATGTCTTCTATTGCCAATGAACCAGATCTAGCCTGAATTAAAATAAAATAAAAAAAAAATATATATATATATATATATATATATATATATATATATAGAAAATATCTGGGAAAAACAAAACAAAAATCCTTAAAATGCGATTATGTTGTTTTAATATGAATGAAAAATTTTCATTCATATTAAAAAACATAATCGCATTTTAAGGATTTTTGTTTTGTTTTTCTAGATATTTTTTCATTCTGTCGGATTTATATCCATTTTATTTGCTTATCATATATATATATATATATATATATATATATATATATATATATATATATATATATGAGAGAGAGAGAGAGAGAGAGATTAGGATAAATCAAACAACCAGATATAAGAAACTGTATATGCGCATGTTGGTGTACAAAGACAGGCAGACAAATAAATAATCATCAAATTTATTCATATGGTGTACACATAACAGTACTCTATGTGATTAGACAGAGCAAAATATATATATATATATATATATTAAAAAATATACACATACAAATATCTACATGTAGGTGTGTGACGTAAGTTTTAAAAATAAACACTACCTACAATTCATTTCCTGCATCTTTTGTTCTATTTTATTTTTTGTCTATAAAACAGTGTTCTTACCATGTATCATCTCTTTATTCTTTTTTATAAAAACATAAAATATACTTTGTGCCCAATGAGCAGGAAAACCAGCAAAATCTAAACATAGGTATTTATATATATATATATATATATATAGATGTATATTTAAAGACATTTTTATGTTTAACATTCTTTTTATAGATACAAGTATTTAAGTAAATGCTCTGTTTATAATAAACAGTATTAAATAACATTTACCGGCCTGAATGTCCGAGAAATTTTCATAGAAAATATTTGTCCTTTAACAGGATTCAAACCTGTATCCTATACGGAACAGTCATATAGCCTGATGTGCCTTACTGCCCAGCCACAAAGGATCGTTCGGTTGGCAATGTCGAATTTACTGCTTATAAATAAATGCTTTGTGGCTGAGCGGTAAAGCACGTCAGGCTATATGACAATTCCATATAGGATACAGGTTCAAATCCTGTTGAAGGACAAATATTTTCTCTATGAAAATTTCTCAGACATTCAGGCCGGTAAATGTTATTTAATTAATTTGCCTAAATTACTATTTAAATCTAGAATATTGAATATGAAAGATTGAAGTTTAAATACAGTAAATTCGACCTTGCTAACTGAACCCTCCTTCGTGGCCAAATCGGTAAAGGCATGTCAAGCTAAATGATGGTTCTGTATAGGATACAGGTTTGAATCCTGTCAGAGGACAAATATTTCCTGCGAAAATTTCTGACATTCAGGCCGGTAAATGTTATTTAATACTGTTTATTATAAATAGAGCATTTACTTAAATACTTAATATATATATATATATATATATATATATATATATATATATATGCATGTTTCATTAAAAACGACAGACAAGGTACTACAGTTGAGCTTTTATTTAATTTTTCTTGTGTTCTGACAAGAGCTTTCTTTTCTGGACAAAGAGTGTGTAAGAACTGTCCGAATGTTCTGTGTTTAAAGGAAGGATTGCTGCCTAAATATACAAAATATATATATATATATATATAAAAAAAAGTGAACATAGAAATCAATGCTCAGAGGCAACAGGCTGTTTCATGCTAGATGCAATCATCAGGCCGCGAGTGTTAGATTTTTCCTTGACTATTTATATATATATATATATATATATATATATATATTATGGGTAATCCATACTGGTAGTTATTTTGGTGGGAGTGGCTTGTTTATTTATTTATTTATTTGGGTTAATTTATTACACTTGTTTTTTTATTTTCATATTTTATATTGATTTATTCTTTTTTGTTTTTGATGTATTATTAACATAGTAAAATCTTAATTTTGAAGATTGGTGAGCATGAAACAGTCTGTCACCTTGAATATTGATTTCAATTTATTTATTTATTTATTTGAGCACTTTAATAAATATACACTTGTTTTTATATATATATATATATATATTTATTATATTTCTATTTAATTTACAATTGATTTATTCTTTTTTAAGAAATTTTGAATATGATATTATTAAAATTAACAGAGATAAAGTTTGTAATTTATTTAAAGACACTTAAATACAGAAATATATATGTGTGTGAGTGTGTGTGAATATTATATATATATATATATATATATATATATATATATATATATATAGGATAAATACAAAAGGAAAACTTGTTAGATGACACGTTTCGTCCTCTGACAGACTTTGTCGAGGCAAATTTATTTTGCAACATGTATTTATAAACAAAAGTAAAAATGTTGAAATGTTGTTGAAATGTTAAGTTTCTCAAAATTTTCTCACTCATAAATATTCATCAGGTTGACTGAAATGTTTAGGTAAATTATGGAAGATACTAAGTGACATAACTAATGTTTAATAAATGAGAATGAGTAAGTGATGTTGAAATTTTTATTTTTTTATGTAAATATTTAAATTATTTTTGTATGGGATAAATTTATGTATTATATATATTTTAAATAACAGGAGGTTATCAACTGAACTGTTTCCTTTTAATTTTTTTTAACAATTTTATCGTCATGTATTGGGATAGGTGTAATTCTTTCAGGAATGGAGAGATATTTGAAAAAAATTAGAGCACAGATTTATATTTTGATAAGATTTGATAGCAGCACTCTTGAGAATTTTCCATCTAAGTTACTTTCTATTCTAATAAAGGGCATTTTTTTTAGATCAACAATTTATTTCCATCTATAATGCTGTTGATAAACTGTTGTGATAACATACTTTTTGCATTCATAGATACATTTTTTAATTTTTACAAATTTTATATATATATATTAATTTATATTTATATATATATATATATATATATATATATGTTTTGGTCTGGTTCCTTGTAACACAGTGATAGTCCAAGGTAGAACCAATAAAGAAGAACTTGAATACGGATATGGAATAACACAGATATATTACAAACAGGAATATATACAGAGAAGTAGAAAGTGTTAGTACGAACAATCAGGTTTAGTAGTAATTGTCTGAAACGCGACTCTGTTTCTGACTGACTGAGGGACTCCTGATGGACATCACTCCAGACTTCAGACAGAACTCTCTGCTTTCTCTTGAGGCGTAGTATATATTACATATGGAATAGTCCATTATGTTATTATGGGTAAGGTCCCATAACAATATACAATAGATTCAAATATGTTTCATTGAATAATATAGACATATTATGCCTATTTACTTTTATAATAATCCTTTCTAGTTTTCTAATCAGTTTCTTGATGCTAAGATGAAATTCATCAAGGAGGGCACTGTAGTTTTTGTTAATAAAAAATAATAATTTTGTAAATACTTTTGACCAGCTCCAAGGTCATCCTCAGGGATTAATTACAAAGACAAACTCATTGTATCTGTGATCATTGTGATGGTGAATATGCTGTTATATGTATTTAAAAATTTTTAATTTATCCATTGTAGCTATGAAATTTTTGGCAAAACATTTTGCATTTTTACCAATTTCTGGTCAGCTCCCTTATACTTGGATGCTCTTTTTGAAAAAATTTTATAGCTTATTATTCAATGAAACATATTTGCATGAAGATATGCTGCCTAAATATACATATATATCGATATGGATATATATATATAGCATTAAGTAGGGGCAAACAAGGTTCTATAACCGTCAAGAAATAAAAAGTTAAAATTCAGCATTTTTATTTTTACAACCAATATTTTCCTAAATGAAATTTTTAATAAGTTAAATAAATTTCTCTGTTACCCCTTTCCATACTTTTTGCATTAGCAGCATTGAGTTTTCCCCAACAGTCAATTAATTTTAAGGTCAGATGAGCATCCCCGGTACCATGTTTGCTGGCTTTGTCACATCCTGTGACAACCTGATGAACACCCTAACAGAGTCATCTATTAGGTCAACACACCATCTGCAAACTGGAGACAGCCTCATGACAGACGATACAGCCGCTGGAAGGACATCATTCACCAGTACCTCTCAGCAGATTAATCTGGTGCTGGAGAATGTTCCAACACTCTGCCAAAATGGTGAGAGTTGGAGGGACCAGGTGGCTCTTGTGAGCTGAATCCTCCATGTGTTCTTTTTACTCTCCAGGGAAGGGAAGAAAACTTGACCGCCACACACCACCACCAATCTTCCATCAGCTGCTGTGATTGATTTCATTTTTTCTTTTACAAATTATCAACACTCTGTAGATTTAACCTTTACAACTCAGCAGGCTTACATGTCCACTGGGGATAATCTTTTGCAATATTCTCCAGGCAAACATGTTCGCCAAGTGAAAGAGCTTTGTTTCAAAAGAAAAATACACTTCTAAAAATAACTTATTACTACAGAAATGAGGTCATTAAGTTTGTGATATGAACTGGGAATGGCCGGATGTCAGCCATTTTGTCCTAGTTAAAATAGTTTTTTATCAGCAAAATTTAATATAGTATTTTAAAAACATTCATTTTTTGATCACAATGGCGAAAAGGAAAGGCATGGATCTGTTACATTGAGAGATGAACTTTTCATGTACAGTGAGAAGAAGAATTTCTTGGAGTTACCCACGCAGATATTAGTGATGTGTGTGACTGAGACTGGAACTAATTCTGACGAAAAAGGAATTTTCAAACCATCACAAGCATATGATCACCTGTAGCTACCAGAGTTTTCCTATACTCCTGAACCTACAAATGTTGATCAAGAAGCTAGTGAGGTAGACATTTTTCATCTTTTTTTTTATCTGGCATAGTTATTCAATTAATAGTAGTGGAAACTAACCAGTATGCAAATGATGTGACAACAAAATTAGGTGACACAGCAAAAACCCAACTTACAAATAACAGCCTGGAAAAACATTTGCTATGAAGAGATGTATTTTTGGCTTTGCTTTTGTTGATAGGTTTAACAAAGTAACCTTCATATTTGTCTTACTGGACAACAGACCCTGTTTTATATATGCAAAGCTTTCATAATGTGATGAGTAGGAATCGTTTTTTTTATCAATTTTATCATATTTTTTTTAGTTTTCATGATTTTTATTTTATTTCTTAAAATTTATTATATGTACAGTAAAAAAAAAATGTCTATATTTTCTACATCCTTTCATACATATACTCTGAAAATTCTATAACAATATCTCTAAAAACCTAAAAGTTACAGAGCTAGTAATATACCTACCATTCAAAAATTTACCACCCCAAAAATTAATACGGATCCATGGGATACAACTCCGAAAATTAGTGCAGAGTTGTAAAAGTAAGCAATATATTTTGAATTGTAAGAGGTTGCTTATTACACAACCTGATGTTCCCAAGTGATCCTATATCTACGTCCTAGACTCGAAACTGCTTAACTTTGGTGCTTTGAGTGTGATTTCACCATCATCAGTCACCTGATGAAAGAGTATAAACATATTTTCTGAAAAAGTCTCCGTCTTGTCTTTTTTAATTATATATGAAATATAATTAAAAAAACTCATATTAGGGAAAGCTGACCGCCATAAAAATTTTTGCACCCCTCCTTTGACAAGAGGGTTCACTCTGGAGTTTATGCCACTAGCCTCCACTTTGAAGTTGATGTCCTCCCCAATGGTAATACTCTGGCAATGTACCTGCTTCTGTCCCACAGCCCTCTCTCTTGGCACATAACTGCCTCTCATGTGTTCTGGAATTTGAGTCTACTTGCCTTGGACAGTGTTTCCCAATTTATTTTACTTCAAGACACACTTGTATAATATGTAAAACACAGCGGCTAACTTTAAATTTTAACAGAAGATTGTATTTCATGTGGAATAAATAATTGATTCTTTGTATACGCATATGTGTACTTTTCTGTATGTTATTGGAATTGCATTTTCCAAAAATTATAGAATATTGAAAATAATGTTATATCCAGGGTGTATCACAATTGTTGAAACAAAGCAATGGCCTCTCAGATGGGGAGAGCTTCATGATAAGAAACTGGGGGTTCCAGCAGAATAGTGCTCCTCCTCCTAACACTGCCTATGTTGCCATAGCGAAAAAAAAAACATATTTTAAATCAGTTAATTTATAATATTAATGATCCGTAAATTTACATTGAGCATTATTTTGTAAAAATAAAAATATCCATAAGAACACTGGATTATATATCTTACTGTTCTTCCTATATATATATATATATATATATATATATATATATATATATATATATAATATTATAAATTAATTGATTTAAAATATGTTTTTTTTTGCTACACAGTTCTAACCATGTTTCAAAAATGGAAGCTAAAAGCCACGAATTTAATTTTGTAATTAAATTAAAGACATTAGTTTCATTTCATCCTCAAGCGAATTTTGGAGTAACTTTTTAAAATTACTGGGTTTTAATGCTCTGTAAATTTACATTGAGCACTACTTTTTAAAACTAAAAATATCTATAAGAACACGGATTATATATCTTGCTGTTCTTTCTTTTTATTTATATACATATATATATATATATATATATATATATATATAAAACTTAAGATTATTGCACAAACTTTCATAACTGAATCAATAAACTGTCAGATCCTCATACCTCGAAACCGACAGGAGAGTCCATTATTATATATATATATATATATATATATATATATATATATTTGGGATTTTGCAAATAAGTGAATAAACTAGGGAATAATTCAGTTATTATTAGCTTATCTGTTATAAGAATAAAATTTTAATTAATTAGTCTTCTGTTATTTTGGGGTGCAGCTGGCTACCTTTCAGGGTGCATCACTGCACCCCGGTTGAGAAATACTGGTTTCAGGTAATATGCAGAAATGGCTGTCTTACCTTTTCCCCAAGTTCAGTAATTGTTCTTTCAATCTGAGCATAGTTCATTTGTTGTACGTTCCTTATAACTGGGACGACCAAACCCTGGAAATAGTAAATCAGTAGAATATGAAATTGAAGAGCAAGTTTTAGATTGTGTTAAGATTCTTTCATTTTTCTTTTTCTGCAACATAGTTTGGTGATATTCTACATTAGACACTCTAACCAAAAATAATAATTTTTAAAAAGAGTTTTTTTTTTCATATCTCTATAAATGAAGCCCTGTAGATTTTGAATATTAACAGATTTTTTAAAAAAAATTAAATTTTATAAAATTAATAGGGTGGCCTATTACGTTATGCAAATTAACTGTAAATAGAGCTCCCAAAGGAAACCAAATCAAATACGCTCAAATACAGGATCTATTGCTAAAGATGCTTCAAAAATGCCCAGCTCTTTGTACAGCGCCAGTAGGAATTTGACTCCTCCCAGTGATACTCTATCTTTACAAGAGCCAGACCATGGAGTATTGCTGCCATATCTGGGCTGGAGCTGCCCAGTTCTCACCTGCCTGTCTTGATAGAGTTCAAAAGCATCTATGGATAATGTATTATTTTTCAGCTTACCCCTTTACCACAGACAAAAACACTGGAAGCCTCTCATTGCTATGTCACTATTTCATGACAAATATTCTGATGAGCTACATTCTTTGGTGCCATCAGCCCTGACCTTTGCAACTGGGACCTGCCAGCCCCGTATACGAGGACGAAACATCCTCATTCCCTTCATATTCCATTAGTAAGGAAGAAGTTCCACTCGAACAGCTTCTCCACAAGAACTGCTGCTTTGTGGAACAGACTCCTGACAGGATGTTTTCCCCAATCACTTTTATCTTGTCCTCTTCAAGTCTAAGCCTAAACATTATCTTTCCTGCATAGAACCATGAGCTTAACTTCTTGCCCTTAATGCTTGTTCAACACTGCCATGTAATCCTCTACCTTGAGTGGCTCTTCAACCTTGTTATGAGTGAACATTAGTATGAAAAAAAATACAGTGAGTCGCCCATATTTGTGGAGGTTAGAGACCAGAACTGCCCATGAATAGTTAGAATCCACTAATACTTGTAACCCCACCCACCTAAAAGTGCTTATAAGTACCTATTTTGATTGTTAAAACCCCATATGTTTTAACTTTCATCCCAAACACTTTAGAAATATTTCAGACCCTTTTTAAAACATTTTTGAAAAATTTTATTGGTGACCATACACTTAGCGTAAATTTTCTTTCATATATACAATAACCGCTTTTAATTACACATTAATTGATACAACCATTGAAAATACTGTATAAAATATGTGTAAAAATAAATAAAATATAAAGTTTAAAACATTTTCTTAAAAGAATTGTGATGATACCCCCAGACTTAGCATAAGCCACTTTTAAGTCCACAGCAGCAGCTCCTTAACAAGGAACAAAGCCCAAGCACTACTTATGTTTTTGCCTTTGTTTTTTTACAGTGAAGGTGTACAATTCTGTCAATTTTTACCATAAAAATGGATTGTTGTTTTAAGTCATTTAAATAACAGAAAATAATACAAGAATATTTTAAATATGTTCTATTGAAAAGATATGCAAACTGAGGGAGATCTCAGTGAATAATTTGTACATATATTCTTCAGAAAAACATGCGAATATTTGGGGTTTCCAACAAAGGAAAAGCACTTGATCCACACAATGTCAGGTATCATTTCTGTAAGTCCAGAAATATTTGAAGAAAAGCCATTACCTTTGGAGTTGCCACAGCAACACTTATATCAACATAATCCCGATAGATGATTTCATTCTCATCGATTACCGCATTGACACTTGGCTGATCCTGCAAAGCATGCGCAGCTGCTTTCACAAATGCAGACATAAATCCGAGTTTCAGATCATGTTTCTTCAAAAATGCATCCTTGTGCAGTTTTCGCATTTCCATGATGTTGCTGAGAAAGAAAAACAACCAAGATATACAGGTTGTGATGGATAAATTGTCGTCTAAATGACACAAAAATGAAAACGCTAACATCTCAATGTAACAGATATACAAAATGCAATGGATAAATTGTCATCTAAATTACACAAAAATGAAAACAACACTGATATCTCATTTTAACAGATATATTTACCAAAATGACACAAAAATATCTTGAAATACTAAAGAGTAATAAATTTACTCCTTAGTATTTCAAGATATGAAATTGTCATTGGCTTCAACCAGAGCCTCCAGACAACTTCGGAATCTCCTGCAACTCTTCTGGACAGTCTCCTAGTTTAAGTTGGTGAATGCTTCCATAATCCTTACTTTCAGGTCATCTTTGGTGCTACAAGGAGTTTTATTGGTTTCTCAATTAACTGCACTCCACACATAATAATCAAAGGGGTTTTGGTCTGGGGAGTTAGGTGACCAGATGTAAGGGGTGATGTGGTCACAGAAATTGCCTGACATCCATGTCTGGGTTCTCCTGTTTGTGTGGCATGGTGCAGAGTCCAATTGCCAGACATAGGGTCTTCCAGAAGCCACCCTCTTGACCCAGGGCAGCACTACCTCCTCAAGGCACTTGATGCAGGCCTCAAATTCGGGAGTTCTTTTCTTATCAGAGCGGTCAGAGTAAGTTTTCCAAGTTGCAATACCTTCGTAATCACCGTTAGATTCATCCAACACTTTCTGAATCCTCTGAACTGTCCTCAGATTGACACCCAAACATTCTGAAAGGTTCGTATTGGAGCTTCCAGCAGAAATACGAAGTAGTACAACATGCAGTTCCCAAATTTCTGGTGGCAAGAATTGCATCATGTTGCTCTTTTTCTTACAGATGGTTCCCGACTGACCCTATTATACTGTGCAGTTGGCAAAAACAAAAGCAAACAACATACATGTGCAAAATTAAAAATATAAAATGGTGACAATTTACCCACTGCACCCTGTACCAAAGATCTGAACTAGCAAACAACTTATCTAAATAAAACAATAATAAAAACTAATTTGAGAAATGCAAATTTTGTGGTTACCTGTTCAATTATGGATGCAATTGAAAATACTTTTTTTATTTATTTCATGAATGGTTCATTACACATTAAAAAAATGTAATTGAAGTCAAAAAATATTTAGAAATTTGAATTCAAATGTATTGGGTTGGAACAAAAGTTGAGTATTTTTTAAGTGAATTTCTAAGATTGATTTGTATATTTAATGGCATATAAACACCTTATGGGTCATTTAATGCCGAAATTTAATTTTCTTGCGAGCTTTGAAGTACTGTATATTTCTGCATATAAGGTGATCTTTAGATAAAACTAGCAGTAGAGCCTGGTGTTGCCCAGGGATGTAACAGTAAGAGATAGATCAAGTATCGACCATCATAAAGACTGAAAAATAAAATTAACAAAGATTATTGTTTAATGTTGACGGACACGCATGTCTTAATTAGTTTTTTTTGTTTTTTTTTTTTTTTGAATTGGTCAAACTCAAACTCAAACAAAAACATTGTTTTCAATTGTTATGAGTCTACCTATTGAATAGAATTTTATTATAAACAATTGTCTTGTAAATGGAATTTTTAAAGCATTCTGAATGTAAAAATAAAGAAAAATGTATGCAAGACAATAAGAAACACTACCTGCCAAAAAAAAAGTGAAGTTTTGTTGAAATCGGTTGAAAAATGTTAGAAATCCGATCCCATATATAAACGAACACACACAAACAAGCTGGGTTTTATAATAAGTATAATTCGATATGAGTTGTCCCCTTTCATTCTAGCAATGCCTCTTAATTGTGTTTTCAAATTGATTTTGTGCAAAAACAATTGTGTTTTTCCCATTTTTAGCACTGTCAGAACCACCGCAAGGCAATTTTACGTAGTCCTGTGAAGTTTTGTTGAAATCGGTTGAAAAATGTAGGAAATCCGATCCCATATATAAACGAACAGACACCCACACACAACCTGGGTTTTATAATAAGAATGATGATGTAAAAAAATATAGCAAATTTTCATGAATTTATCCCATACCTATAGTATAAGATGATTGCTTATTGATTATCTAAAGATGATGTTATTATGATGTTTGTTACTGTATCCTTAGAAATTCAAATTAAACAAAATAACAAAACCAATTCTGTGACATGTTTTTCGTACACACATCCCTTAAAAGGAAAACCACAGTTTTGTTTACATTTCCTCCCTTGATCGCTTGTGAATACCGATTCTTATTCTTCTTTCTCTTCTTTTTCTATACCTGAACAGTTACAAACAGCCTGGTGTACTAATGGCCATTTACTTATACTTCATTAACAATCACAAAATACCGCTAGTAATGGTATAACCAAAGCTTTTATCCACTGGACCATGTTACTTGAAAACTTGGAGAGTTGAGTTACTAAAGAGAGATAACTGAAACTGAAATATCCAGAAAAGACATGGCATGTGGAACTAGAACAATCTAACCTGGTGAGCAAAATAAAGGGTTCGGTTAAAAATTCCAATGTATATCAACCGAAGAAGGCCAGAGTGTACAGCGGCCGAAATGCCATGAATATGACAATAAAGATGAGGACAATAGCCTGAATAGTGTAAATAATTACAATACCTCATCTCAGAAATATACAGACAGATATTAGAGTTCAAGTTTTGCCTTTGTCTGTTGCATTCATGTTGCATGAATATACTAAGGAAAGACAAAGGTTGATTGATTTTGTTTGCAGCATTAGCAATCTTCATGGGTTATTTAATACTGAAACCTAAATATTTGTGAACACAATTTTATGGCTTGAACTAAATATATTGTGAACGCAATGGTATCCCTTCAACTACAGATAAAATGTATTGTTGGTAGTTCTACTATAAATATGTATTGTTGGTAATTTTACTATAAATAGGTAAGGTTGGAAATTTTTTTCTTTTTATATATATCAAAATATATTATCCATATTTTTACTATAAAAATGTATTTTTATACTTTCATAGTATTTCGTTTTTGTTTTGGGGTTCACTATTTGCCCATAGCTGGGACCCTAGCAGGTGCTACCACCCCAGGTCATGGTGAACGTGGAAACAACAACAACAATTAAACAGGGAGTTCCCCACTCCTCAAAACTTCCAATCTCCCGTTCAGAGTAGTAGTTTAGTATCATACTACAGGACTAGAGGAAAAGTATAAATCGATTACTTTTCCCCCAGTGATGCATTCAGTAGCAGGGTAAATTGTATTCTCTCATCTTGAGTTTTACGAGAAAGACAACTCTGAATTCAAAACTGTGATAAAGGCAACATAAATTATCTTTCCCAATAAACACCTACTTTCTAAAGCAACATATTTAAAAAAAAAAAAAAAAAAAGAATTTAAATAAGTAGGTACCATCAAAGGGTATGATCTAAATTATCTAAAGCATCAAGTAGAAAGAATATATAGAATTTAAACAAAATAAATTTACAAAGAGTTACCTCCCTTGTCTTAAATTCATACTAAAAATGGTTCTTGGCAAGAATTTGAACACTGATAAAGAAAGTTGGAAGAGAAACAGGGATGGAAAAGAAAGAGGAGAAGCTGGGGAAGGAGATGAAAGAGGAGGAGAAACTGGAGATGAAAAAGGAGGAAGAGAAGCTGGGGAAGAGGGATGAAAAAGGAGGAAGAGGAGAAGCTGGGGAAGAAGATGAAAGAGGAGGAGGAGGAGAAGCTGAGGAAGAAGATGAAAGAGGAGGAGGAGCTGAGGAAGAAGATGAAAGAGGAGGAGGAGCTGAGGAAGAAGATGAAAGAGGAGGAGGAGCTGAGGAAGAAGATGAAAGAGGAGGAGGAGCTGAGGAAGAAGATGAAAGAGGAGGAGGAGCTGAGGAAGAAGATGAAAGAGGAGGAGGAGGAGAAGCTGGAGAGGATGAAAGAGGAGGAGGAGGAGAAGCTGGGGAAGGAGATGAAAGAGGAGGAGGAGAAGCTGGGGAAGGAGATGAAAGAGAATGGATAGGAGAGAAAGAGAAGAGGCAGGGTAGAGAGAAGAGAGAGAAAAAAGAGAAGGGTAAGAGGAGGAGAAAAGATGAAGAAGAAGGGGGAAAACAAGATGAAGAAGAAATGAGGAACAAGAAAATAAAAAAAGGAGAACAACAACAAGAAGGTGATGATAAGAAGAGGACATCAAGTCGGAAACAAAGGTTGAGAGGAGGAGGCGGAGGAGGAGAAGGGAAATAATAATAATACACATTTTAATCTAAGCAGGCCAAATCTTTTTAACAATGTCCTAATATTCTTTAGAACAGTCATTTTGGTCTAACAAACAACAATGTCATTGAAGAGATAAAAAAATCAACTTTATAGCCAAACCAAATATTCAACTCATTTATTTACCTCATATCGATTTCATTAAAGGTAGTCAACATGGCACATGTGTTCTGGGCATCTTTTAGACGATGGGCAATTTTTTGCCTCATGCGACTCATTTTAACCTGTGGAGGTAAAAAAAGAAAAGTTTATGAACAATTGAAAATGAAAACTTAAGAGAATCTAACATTATGACAAATTTTATAGATGAGGAGGTGCTAAAATTTGGCAAGCCAACCCACTTCCTAATAATCTGGACAAACGAGGAAGGGATTTTTTGTCCTGGCTGATAAAATCTCTTCGTATGAATGGACAAGTTTTCAGGCAGATTTCATTTGTTAAAGATAAGTATAGTAATCTATAATAATTTGTTCTTAAAAAAAAAAAAAAAAAAAAAAAAAAATCAATAGAAAATCCAATTAAAATAAAATGAAAAATAAAATGAAATTTAGATAAGTCTGTAATTTTATTTCTAATCAAATTGTTCTGATGAACCTATTGTACCTAGACTTTATGAAATTAAGTGCAGTACTAGATTGGCAGCAAGGTCTCAACATTTCACAATTGAATTGGCTAGCTGTAACTAAGTTCTATGCTAACAGTTTCTTCTCTTGCACTTCTCACTTGTGTCTGTTCAGAAAGTGGGTGATCATGACTCTCCACAGACTCATCAGCTCTGTTCTTCCCTGCCTGTTTTGTCCAGTGAGTGTCCTATTCTCCAAGCACTCTTTCCTCGTTATATGTGCCAGAAATTTTAACTGTCTTTCCAATTTTAAGTGTAGCCATTAAATAATTATCATTCTTTATTCTAAACATTCAGTCGGGTTTTAATTCATATTTGATTCTAATTCATTAAATAATCAAATACTTAAAATGCCAATGTTGAAAAACCACTTACCCGCTGTTCAGTCCGTGAAGAAACTGCAGTCGCAGGAGCTGCAGCAGGCTGCGCAATCTGCACTGCAGACACAGGAGTACTTGTCATCGGTTGAGCAGGCACTGGAGGTACAGGTGGAGGACTTGTAGGAATTGGCCCTGAAGAAGGTGGAGGAGTTGCTGTTGGAGTTGGAGTTGCTGCAGCTGGAGCTTCTGGTGTTGGGGCTGCAGCTGCAGCAGCAGGAGCTGGTGCTGGTGCAGGAGCTGCGCTACCATCTGAAATATTAAAAGAAGGAATCAGACCAAATCTTGAAAAGGAGATGAAGATTTTCTTGAAACATGAACAAAAGAGATAAGAACTTAGCAAGTGAATGGCCACAAGATTATGAATAAAAAAAAAAAACAACTTAGAATTAAGAGAGTGAGGGAAATAAAAAAAAAAGAACTACATTTCACAATCAAATAGAATTTTTTTTTTTTTATAAATTTGAATTTCTGGGATGAGGAGTTATCATTTATACTATTTAAATGTATACTAATATCCTCATCTTTGTTGTTACTATCACAGTGTTTTAGCTGTTGTGCCCACTACCCTTCATCAGGTGCTTGTCAATCCAAGTAACCTTCAAGGAATTTCCAGCTGAACCCTTTATTCAATCTACAGAGGTAGATTGTTCTTATTCTGCTGGTCATGTTGAGATAGATATGAGCTGATCAAAAAGTATCAGGACTGGTGCTATAAAAAGAAAACTACAATACATAACAATTCGGCATTTAATCTCCTCCGAAACAGTCTCCTTTTGAGCCACACACTTTATCCATTGATGGATGCATTCCTTTTTTAGGATAGAGAACAGCTGCCTTGTTGCATTTTATTGGATTGCTTGATATCTCAAAACCATGTTCCTTTCAAATGGGATTTGATTTTTGAAGAGGAAAAAGTTGCAAGGGACAAGATCTGGTGAATATGGGTGTTGTCAAACCTGAGGAAATGTTTGCGATTGGCCCAAAATTGCTGTACAAGCCACGGTCAATGCTAGAGATGGCAGTGTTTTATTTTAAGTTATTCTTTTTTTTTTTTTTTTGTCAGCTCTGAAGCTTAAAGTGCGTTGGAATAAACATTGGAAACTAACACATTTGAGGCTTTGAAATCATGATAAGCTTGAGGAATCCAAGGAATATGATGGCAGAAATACATGAAGACAAAAGGATGGAGAAAGTCTAAATAAGTGAAAGCCTTTTTATTGTTATATAAAATGAAATAGAAAATATCCAAGAGAAAATATTGATAGAACATTTTTCATGGTTTCATTGTAATTAGCTCCCTTTGAGTTGACGGCTATTTTTGGATTAGCTCCCTTTAACAATAAGACTAGACTTAGGTGACAGCTTGTCAAGGAGAAAGAGTAAAAAAAACCTCTCCATCTTTCCTAAGAATGCATAGCAATTTACAGATAATGATAATAATAAAACAGGACTTGATTTATGTGGGTTGCACAACAGGAAAATTAAATAAAAGATTCAATGGACACAGGTATGATGTCAGACACAATAATGTGACATCAACAAAGCTAGTGGAACATTTTATTACAAATGACTGTAATTTCAACAAACATCTTAAGTTGCAAATTCTAAAAAAATATCCAGAATATCCTTAAAAGGCATGAGGATAGTTAAGTATAGAAAATACTAACTTCCCACCCAGGGGGAGTGATCAGGAGAGTTCCATAGGATTTATACTAAACTGTTTGATTAATTCCTCTTAGTAACCAATCAACTAATGGAAAATTCTAAGATGTGCATGATGACCATCATATTATGCACATTTCAGCTGCAATTCATTCGTTTTAATGTCTTGGTTACCAGTACAACCGTTTTTCTCAAAACAAGCAACGTTTGTACAGACAATTTTTTGTAGATTTTTTTATATTTGTATACAATTTTTAAACATAACTTGAAGACAGACATATTGGTGAAATGTTGAACATTGTCAAGCAGTGTCTTTTCTTTTTCCTTTCTTAAATTGCGCTCTGCTCCAAATGTTGAACAATATCAGTTAATTACATCTATCATTTTTATTGTTAACTACCGGCATTGCCCATGCTTGATTCAAAAATCGTACAACTCATACAGCAATCGCTATCACTGGACTTAAAATATTTTTGCCCTTCCTTGCCTTTAAAGGAGTGCCCTTTGCCATGCTGATGTTGCTACATGCCTTACTTCTTGCCTATCACACACTGCAAATTTTTTCTAAGCTCTATACTAAACATTAAATCTGTTACGAAAAAAGAACTAAACAAAATGAACACAAAACGATCAGCTTTAAAAAAGGACTCGTAACTGGAAAAACCGAATGAAAAAAGAATGTTAACAACAAATACTTTTTTATACCCAACCCAGTTCTGCAGAATCAGAATCAACATTGAGTTTAAGCAAGCAAATGAGCCAAGTGGAGTAAAGTGCCATGCAGATTTAAATTTTTCCCCACTTGTGACAAATGCAGCTATTGATTTTTTTTTGCTTGCTAGTTAACATTTGTGTCAGTCAGCAATTGGCTCTCACTCTGGCCAGTACAAAATGGCCACAAACTACATGAAAACTGGCGTAGAAGCATGAAAAAAATCGATTATTTCCACTATCGATGGGAGTTGGGAAATGCAAAGTTGGTTTTGGCCTTCTTGCTAATTTGGAGCATGTGCATGTAAATTTTGGTGCAAATCTGTCGAAAATTGCGGCCGTGCATTCGTCACACACACACACACACACACACACATCCTGCCTTTTATAGATAGAGATAATAATAAAAGGATTATGTGAAAAGTCATGATCACCTATATCCTGAAATGATATAGACATTTCTTTTTTCAGATGTTCAGTTGAAGACTCAACTTTTATTTCAATGCCTAAAAATTCTGTTTCCTTTCTAATTAATTAAAAATTACATATCTAGTAATTATCCAAAAAAAGTTGTGTTTTTATACAAAATCCACTTAATTACTGAAATGCAGGAGGGGGCAAATACAAGAAATCAGTGTACATTTACGAAATTAACAAAAATATTGTAGTTTATTTTCTTCTGTAATTAAGTAAAACTACATGGGAAAGAAAAAAAGAATTAGCTTCATAACTTTGGGCATAACGAGAGCAGCCAATTTTGATGTCCTGGAAGTGATGTATGGAATTTACATATTTTTTTTCTTTAATTTTTTAATCAATTTGTCCCAAGCAAGGTGACAATGCCACTATGATTCAAGGAGCTACTGAGAGTGAAAGAAAATGAAAAGATTTTAGAAGGAAATGGAAATCCAATACTAAACAGAGAACAAGGGATAACCCTATACTCCTGTTCAAAAGACTGGGGAGGAGTGCAAACTGGACAATAAGCAAACTTATTTACTCACTGAGGAGAGAAAAAGAATAATTAGTGAATAAAATTTTAGAGTTCAGACAGAGACGTTAGATGTATAGAGTTGAAGTAGAGTTTAAAAACCAACTGGAAACCGAAGGATAACCCTTTACTCCTGTTCAAAAGACTTGGGAGGTTTATGAACCAGGTGATAGGTAAACCTATTTACTTTTATTATGAGAAAAGAAAAATAAGATCTTCATTTCCCATCACAAAAATAACTGAACACAAGTAAACTTTTGGCAAAAATTTTCATCTGAATACTAAGCTGCTGTTGACTTCAAACACACCAGAAACTTGACGAGAGTTTTAAACAAGTAGCAATTGGACAATCTATGCAAATTCTAAGTACCAAAGGGTTTGTTTAACGAGAGAAAGGACAATTTTGAAGGTCACAAGGGGCTATATTATGGGGGAGTGGGGGTGCAATTGAGAACCTAGCAAAGATCTGAGCTGGGCAAACCAGAGTAAAGCATACGGAAACCCGTGACATTTACAGCTTTAGTGAAGAGACAGCTCAGTATAACGGCTGAGAGTACAAAATAAACGACAATTGCTTTATGACACATAAGTTACATCCGAATTAAACTTATCTCATGTCAAATGTAATCAATCCTTAAAGAAAGAAAAAAAAAATTATCCAGTGTACAAAAATGAAAGTGCTAACAAAAAGATTTGTTAATTGGCAGAATTAAATCCAAAATGGCTTCTCGTTAAAAGTGCATAAAAAAAATATTTCAAGGACAACAGGATGGAGTTGGACTTAAAACTAGTAATTTTCTTTTATGTGCTATGTCTCTTCAGGATGTGGGTGATAATGGCTCTCCACAATTTCCTATTCTTTGTAGCTCTAGTTTCACAGTCAGCAATATTGCTAAACATCAGTTGAGTTTTATATTTATGTTTGCATGCATCCAAAAAAAGAGTAGCCACTTTCTTAAGATTTTATCCATTTACATTTTTATTTAGAATGAATATTAACCCAGAATACGAATGTGTTATATTTCTGAATTTAGGGAGTAAAAACACTGACTCCTCACTTAATTAAGTTCACTGAGACAAATGTTCTTTTATGCCAATTTTTAATCAGCCAACTGAATTTCATTTTATGCATTAGTATAGGAAAATAGATTATTTTTACTATGCATTAGTATGAGAAAGAAAAGTGATTTTTTATGCATTAGTATAGGGGGAAAAAAAGGTGTTTTTTTTTTTTTTTATTATGCATTAGTATGGGAAAGAAAAGTGACTTTTTATTATGCATTAGTATGGGAAAGAAAAGTGACTTTTTATTATGCATTAGTAGGGGAAAGAAAGGTGACTTTTTATTATGCATTAGTAGGGGAAAGAAAAGTGACTTTTTATTATGCATTAGTAGGGGAAAGAAAGGTGATTTTTTTATTATGCATTAGTAGGGGAAAGAAAGGTGATTTTTTTATTATGCATTAGTAGGGGAAAGAAAAGTGACTTTTTATTATGCATTAGTAGGGGAAAGAAAGGTGATTTTTTTATTATGCATTAGTAGGGGAAAGAAAGGTGATTTTTTTATTATGCATTAGTAGGGGAAAGAAAGGTGATTTTTTATTATGCATTAGTAGGGGAAAGAAAGGTGATTTTTTTTATTATGCATTAGTAGGGGAAAGAAAAGGTGATTTTTTATTATGCATTAGTAGGGGAAAGAAAGGTGATTTTTTTATTATGCATTAGTAGGGGAAAGAAAGGTGATTTTTTTATTATGCATTAGTAGGGGAAAGAAAGGTGATTTTTTTATTATGCATTAGTAGGGGAAAGAAAGGTGATTTTTTTATTATGCATTAGTAGGGGAAAGAAAGGTGATTTTTTTATTATGCATTAGTAGGGGAAAGAAAGGTGATTTTTTATTATGCATTAGTAGGGGAAAGAAAGGTGATTTTTTTATTATGCATTAGTAGGGGAAAGAAAAGTGACTTTTTATTATGCATTAGTATAGGAAAGAAAGGTGATTTTTTTATTATGCATTAGTAGGGGAAAGAAAGGTGGGTTTTTTTTATTTATTAAGTGGAAAAAAACAAACACTGTAAATGCCTTTAGTGTTGACATTTACTAGCAAAAGAATAATTATTTCTCAATGTTTTTACCATCAGCTAAAACTGGTTAATAAAGTAATTTGTAATGAGTATGCATGGGAGAATATGACATATCATCAATGATTGGGGAAGCCATAGCAGCATAATGCGGTGGTAAACGAGCTAATAGGGAAAATGGCAGAGATGTACTTGAAATGGGTTAATTTCAGATCCAACCAATATTAAACCTCTATGGGTTATTTAATGCCAAAAGCTAAATATTTTCTACATAATTTTATACTTTCAGAGTAAAGGTAGGTTTTTTTTGGGGGGGTGGGGTTTAGATGTATATTTTGTAGATCATAAAATTTATTGTTGGTAATTTTACTATAAAAATGCATTTTTATATTTTTTTAGTGTTGTATTGTTGCTCATTTCATTATAAAAATGTACTGTTGATTTTGGTTTGGGAGTTCACTATTTGCCCATAGCTGGGACCCTAACAGTTAATACCACCGCGGGTAAAAGGTGGACCTGGGAACAGCAGTTGTTAAAAGGTGGTTTCTCAAAACCTCCATAAAGACATAGGACCTTCAAGGCAGCAGGTGGTTTGAATTCTGAGTTTCCTTCTCCTAGGTTGGCTGCCAACCAAGGCGATAAAAGCCAGTCTGCCCTGCTATTTTACCCATAGAGAGGGGGAGAAGAGATGGATTCATACCTTTCCCAAAGGTATTGGCATGTAAGTGATTGTAATGAACTGGACTAGAATTTGAACTCGACTCTCCAATTTCTCAATGCAAGTTACAAGCCATTACATCACCATACCTCCTTATTAATGGGTTTAATAAAAAAAAACAAAAAACACGCAGATTTCTTCTCTCATTCCGACCATAAAAGCACCGAACCAAATGATAAAGCAATAACTACAAGACAGAGCCAGGTATATCCAAAATAAATTGTACAAAGCGAAACATCTAGAAATCTAAAAACAAAATGTTTCGCTTTGTACAATATATATATATATATATATATATATATATATAAACATCATAGGAATATACTGCACAACAACACTTTAAATACACTGATAGATCCCTGTAATATATCTGGCCACATCAGGAGAGTAAAAAAAAAGAAAAAAAAAAAAAAGAGTGCACTGATCTCACAATTCTTAACAATGAACCTAAGACCAGGCTTATACATAATATAACCAATCATTGAAAATGCAATAGCAGTACAGTGTAGTCTATTATGAGCTAATAGGGGGACTAACAGACATCAACTCATAGTAGCTAATTTGAAATCCAACCGATATTAATGACTTTAATATAAAAACAGTTTTATCTTTCATCCTGATCTGAAATGACCCATAAGGAATTATGCCACTAAACAAGCAAACAGCCATAGAATATGATGTATAAATTTCTATATATGAGAACAATGTTGGGTAACTAAATAAAAACATCGAAACAATTCTCTGTAACATGTTTCAACCCTTAAACAGAATTCATCACACTAATGCAATGTTCTTATCGATGGAATTTTATATATGGAGATGGAGTAGTGAAAGATAAATGTAAAAAAAAAAAAAATGTTGGCTATAATTATGCACCAAGAGAAAATGCTGGAGATGTCAAAACAAAAAATTTTAAATTTTTAAATTTCAGGCGTCTGATGTGCCTTGACATGACAACCCAGCTGATTTTATTTAGTTTCCCATTGCTTTTGTTTTTAGCTCTGTTGTTTTCTTTTAAAAATATCTCACACTGTGGCAGCAGAGGATTTGTTAAGAAAGATGAAATGTTGTAAGAACATGGATGCAAATTCACTGTGGAAGAAAAGTATTTATTTATACTGTATTTTCTTGTGCATAATAAAGAAATTTTCAATGAAAATTAAAGGCAAAAAAGGTGGGGTTTATTATACACAATTACATGTTTCCAGCAATTTTTACTCAGCTTAAAAAGAACATTTTATTTGAAACAACAGGATTGCAAATACAATCAGTTAGCCTAACAGATAATAAAACACAAAGTAGGCAGGTGTCGATAACAATTATTTATAAAAACTATTTGATATGTCGGCAATATTTGTTCTTTGGGAATCAGCATGATTGAACGTCTTTTGTGTCGGTTTTGCTCACAAGATAAAGTTTGTTTTTAATTTGATTTTCTTGTTTCTCGATAAGATTTCCTCTCTTTATTCTTAATGGAAGACAATATTTTTTTTATTTTCATAGTTTATTAATATATAGAAATATAATAGTCATATCAAACAGAAATCTATAATAGATTAATTAACACTTTAAAATGTATTACAGGGTATGTCTAGTTAGCACCTTTCCTCAAAAGTTTGTAAAAAGGGTTTTGAAACAGAAATTAGAAGATACATACAAAGGTTAAATATCCACTTTATTTCTATTCTTTAATATTGTGGAAAAATCACATTTTTGTGAAATATATATATACAAGATTTAGAGATTTTAACAGATAATATGGTACAACTTTTCAAAAAGTATTTATATAGGGATGGCTGTACTACGGAGTCATATTACACTCAAGGATGTAATTTATTCCCTGTTTTAGCCTCAGGTATACAGGGTCATATTACACTCAAGGATGTAATTTATTCCCTGTTATTAGCCTCAGGTATACAGGGTCATATTACACTCAAGGATGTAATTTATTCCCTGTTATTAGCCTCAGGTATACAGGGTCATATTACAATCAAGGATGTAATTTATTCCGTGTTATTAGCCTCAGGTATACAGGGTCATATTACACTCAAGGATGTAATTTATTCCCTGTTATTAGCCTCAGGTATACAGGGTCATATTACACTCAAGGATGTAATTTATTCCCTGTTATTAGCCTCAGGTATACAGGGTCATATTATACTCAAGGATGTAATTTATTACTGGTTTTAACTTCAGAAAAACGGTGTTGTATTATAGTAAAGTATGTAATTTAATCCCTGTTTTTAGTTTTAGATACACAGGGTCATAATATACTCAAGGAATAAATTTATTCCTTGTCTATAACTTCAGAAAAACTGGGTCATATTTATACTCAAGGATGTAATCTATTCCCTGCTTCTATAGCCTCAGCAACACGGTGTCATATACTCAAGTTGTATTATGCACAAGAAAATATATTATAAAGAATTTTCTGGATCAGCCAGAATTAAACACACAATTATTTTGAGTTAGCATAATAATAAATTGGGATAACCTCCTAATTTTACAAGTATGAAAAAAAATTATCAAATAATCAGAAGGAAAAAAAAAAATAACTTACCAGTTAGCTTAATTTTGAAGAGTTTTTGCTCAGCTTCAACCTTGTCACCATCAGCGACATAAAATTCCTCAATGATGCCACTCACTGGAGCTGGTACTGGAATCGTCGTCTACAACAGACAGTAAAGTCAAGATATGAAGAAGAGTTGAATTCAAAGCAAAAGAAAGTGCCAAAATATATTAACAAAATACAGTCTAAAAACAAAAAATTATTTCTTTGATTTAAAGTAACTCTAAAGACAAAGATATTAGTTTGGGTTCCAATTACAACTAAAAGACATGTATTCATATTTGTATGAATATATATATATATATATATATATATATATATATATATATAGGTAACTATACTCGTTTCAACAAACCCTCGAATTTTTGATTTGCCAATAATCAAATCAATCTTGAGGGAAAAAAAAAGGTTGTAAAAAAAGAAAGAGCTAGAAACATGAAAGTCTGTCGAAAAAAAATCGCACAGATACAGGTTTGAAGTCCAAAAGAAAAAACCTGATATGAGTAAACAACTAACTAACAAAAGAGCTCAATACAACTGTAGAGCAGACCTGACGATCCACTTAGGTGAAACCTGGGTAGGTTTGTCTGGCTCACTAGGTTTATCTATCTATATATATATTATATATACAGTGTATCACAAAAGTGAGTACACCACTCACATTTCTTCAAATATTTAAGTATATCTCTTCATGGGACAACACTGACGAAATGACACTTTGACACAATCAAAAGTAGCCTGTCTGCAGCATATATAACAGAGTTAATTTATTTTTCCCTCAAAATATAGCCATTAAAAGCTAAATCCCTGCCAACAAAAGTGAGTACACCCCTTAGGAAAAGTTGTCAATATTAACATACAACATGTCAACTGTCAATATTTTGTGTGGCCACCATCATTATCCAAAACTGCCTTTACTCTCCTGAGCATGGAGTTTACACAGGTAGTCACTGGAATGCTCTTCCACTCTTCAATGACGACGTCACAGAGCTGGCAGATATTTGACACTCTGCGCACCTCCACCTTCTGCTTGAGGATGACCCAAAGATGTTCTATTGGGTTCAAGTCTGGAGACATGCTTGGCCAGTCCATCACCTTTACCCTCAGCCTCTTCAGTAAAGCAATGGTTGTCTTGGATGTGTGTTTGGGGTCATTGTCATGCTGGAACACTGCTCTCTGACCCAGTTTCTGGAGGAGGGATCATGCTCTGCTGCAGTATTTCACAGTACATGTTGGAGTTCATGTTTCCCTCAATGAAATGTAACACTCCAATACCTGCAGCACTCATGCAGCCCCAGACCATGACATTCCAATCACCATGCTTGACTGTAGGCATGACACACTTATCTTTGTACTCCTCACCTGGTCGCCGACACACATGCTTAAGGCCATCAGAACCAAACAAATTAAATTTCATCTCATCAGACCATAGGACATGGTTCCAGTAATCTATGGGCTTTGTTGACATGTCTTCAGCAAACTGTTTGTAGGCTTTATTGTGTATTGCCTTCAGAAGAGGCTTCCTCCTGGGGTGACAGCCATGCACACCAATTTGATGTAGTGTGCGGTGTATGGTCTGAACACTAACAGGCTGAATCCCAATCTCTTTAATCTCTGCAGCAATGCTAACAGCACTCCTACGCCGATCTTTCAAAGAAAGCATTTGGATGTGACGCTCAGCACGTGCGCTCAGCTTCTTTGGACAACCTACTTGAGGCCTGTTCTGAGTGGACCCTGCTCTTATAAATGCTGGATGATCTTAGCCACTGTGCTGCAGCTCAGTTTCAGGGTGTTGGCAATCTTTTTGTAGCCTTGGCCATCTTTATGTAGTGCAACAATAAGTTTTTTAAGATCCTCAGAGTTCTTTGCCATGTGGTGCCATGTTGGAACTTTCAGTGACCGGTAAGAGAGAGTGTTAGAGCTGCACTACAAATTTGAATACACCTGCTCCCCATGAACACATGGGCATAGTTAAACTAATGAGTCACATGACATTTTGGAGGGAAAATGAAAAGCAGTACTCAATTTAGACATTTAGGGGTGTAGTTTCTTAGGGGTGTACTCAGTTTCTTAGGGGTGTACTCACTTTTGTTGCCAGGGTTTTAGCTTTTAATGGCTATATTTTGAGTTATTTTGAGGAGAAAAGAAATTAACTCTGCTATATATGCTTCAGGCAGACTACTTTTCATTGTGTCAAAAGGTAATTTTTTCAGTGCTGTCCCATGAAGAGATATACTTAAATATTTGAAGAAATGTGAGGGGTGTACTCATTTTTGTGATACACTGTATATATATATTTTAATCATTTCACCCAAAGCCAGACAATAATGCCACTAGGATGCAGGGGGTCACAGGGAGGGAAAAAGAATGAGAAAACTTTAGTGAGGACAAATGAGGAAAATGACAATAAAGGAACAGGGTTCAGGAAAACAGAAGATGGCGATTGATGCTGCATTTAAATTTTGGAAGATTATACATGAGAGGAAAGCAAAAAATCAGAAGGGAGTTACACAGGAGAAAAAGAAACTGTTAGAATAGAAGAGACGGCTGCAGCTGTGAGACCTAATGGCCAATCTAGTAGCATGTTTAAATTCATGCATTTGAGGCACTAACAAATATGTGAGATTTTCCACTGCAACATTTTGAAAAACATATTTATTCCATATATATATATATATATATATATATATATGAAAATATTTTGGCAGCATGTTTTCATTAAGACATTAATTAAATAATTTAGACAGGTTTTGTCAACTTATTCCTAACAAGATCCTCTTCAGGGCCATACCTATGCAGTATTCATAATTAATTTTATTAACAGTTGGTTTCAATTGTTCAATTTGCAGAAAACTAGCATTATATATAAATTTAAATGTCCCTTGGGAGATTGAATCCTCAACAGAAAAAAATAATATATTTATGTATAAAATTTGTGTTGGTCACATCACAACTATATTGTCTAGAGAGTTGAGTTTTCATTTGAATGATGCATCTAACATCTTTCAACATTTACAACAGTATGCATGTCCACATTTGCAATTTACAAAAATTCTTGCTGAAAATACATCTATACTTTTTTATGAAAATAATAAACATATACTAAAATTCTTGAAGTTATCTATATTAAAAATTTGAAACCAACCTTTAATAAAATTAATTATGAATACTGCACAAATGGTTTAAAATGTTTATAGTGGATAGTTTAAAATATCTAGGTTTTAACTGATAGCTTTAAAAAGTTTTTTTTTTAAAAAAAATAGGTAACCATCCCAATAACTAAGTTACCTCCCTTGACGTTACTGCACGGGTATGTTTACATCATAAAATTTAAAATTGTTCAGTTTACCATTTTTCCCTTCACAAGTAAAAAATTTAATTTTCAGATAAACACAACAATTTTATCTTAGATGAAACAAGACTGAAGATGACATTGTGCTAATGTTGAAAGAACTCAAAATATAATTAATATGCATCAACATGGTAATGTTCTTCCTTCTTTCAATAAGGATATTAAAAATCTCATCCATGAATATGAGAGGATCCTATTAAGAATAAGTAGACAAAACTTGTCTAAATTATTTAATGACACATTATATATATAATGAAATGGACAAAGTCCGATAATTATTTTAAGACATTTTTATGTTTATACATTCTTTTTATAGATACAAATATTGAAGTAAATGCTCTGTTTATAATAAACAGTATTAAACAACATTTACTGGCCTCGTGGCCAAATCGGTAAAGGCACGTCAAGCTGAATGACGGTTCTGTATAGGATACAGGTTCAAATCCTGTTGGAGGACAAATATTTTCTGTAAAATTTCACGGACATTCAGCCTGTCTATTTGAGAGTCTTAACCAAGAAAATGTGTATTCTGACAAAGTTCAAGCCTACGTTCTTCTTGTAGAACAAAAACTTGGGTTGACTGTGAATGAGTGAGTGATCTAAAAGTACACCAGTCTTAAGTGGTTTCAAACTCTGCCAAAAGCACAGTTTCTTTAGTAAGACTCACAAATGCACAGGCTGGTAGATAGATTTAGTCAAACAACTGCATTCATTATATATAATGTTTAAAGTAAGAAACATTATATAACAGGAAATTAAATTAATAAACCTATGTTTTAAATCCTTATGACCTGTTGAGCAAACATAAAAGAAATCCTTATTTTTTTTCATCTCTCATAGCTGATCTGAACAAAATCAGAATTGTTTTTTTTTTTTTTTTTCTTTCACCCCATGCAAGACAGTAAAGCCACTAAGACACAAGGGGTTACAGGATGTGGTAGAATTAGGAAGAGAAACATTAATAATGAGCGGGAAGAGAAAAGAGTAATCAGGAGGACAGTATTAAATTTTTGAAGACTAAAGTTAGGGCGAAAGCATGAAGTGAGAAAAGAAAATGTAGCATAGAATTTATGGTTACATCTAGCTAGCTCAACTGTAAATTGATGAGATCTTGGTGACAGTCTAGTACTGCACTTAAATTCAAAAAGTCAATTACCATGAAAGAAAAAGCACAGAGAGGCAACCTTATGGCAGTGGGAAAGTGACTGAAGCCAAACTGACAGATCAGGACCAATAATATTGCTGATTCTTCTTTGGATTTTATCAAGAAGCTCAAAGTAAATAGCAGGGTTAGCAGATCATATGTGGCAGCAATATTCTAAGCATGGACAAATGGTAGACTTATAGCTATGTAAATAGCAAAAGAAGTTCTATACAGTCAATGGACATGAATATTTCTTGTTCAAGGTTTCTTTCATTATAAATAAAAATGGTTTATAACAGGGGTTCCCAAGCATTTTGGCGTCACTGCCCACTTACACATGGAAATTTTTTTCATTGTCCACTTGAATAGTAAATGTTCAAAAACATACCAAAATTGTTTGGTAAAAGTTTGTTACTGGTTCATAAACTGACTTTACAATATAGTAAAAAATGCTGACATGTGGCAATAACATCTGCTGCTGCTACCACTATATTAAAGAACAAACAAAAGCAAACTGTACCAGTTAAAACTATATATATATATATATATATATATTAGTGGTAAATATACACATACATATGCAAAATATATAAATATATATACATACATGCATACAAAGACATATATATTTTGTATAGAAAATTCCAAGAGTATAGAATCCAGGTAGATAAAATTTAGTTTTATGGTGAGGTTTAGCATTGCAAGTGCTGAGAAAAATTAAACAATTTTGGTTCATAGCTATAAAATGAAAAGGAATATACACTACTAGTAACTAATAAAAATTGAGCAAATATTTTTTTATGTCTAATACTGAAGAATTATTTGAATGTTAATGACCCTTCTCAAAACTATAAAAAAAATATCAAAATATTCCTTTTTTGTGGGGGATCTATGAATGTGACCTAGTTACTTTCATTTAGTCTCCTGCAAATATTTTTTTGGGATAGCATATGTTGAAATAACTTTTTAATACTCAAAATTCTATATCACCCACCAAAAATTTCCAATTGCTCACCACCCAAGCAACAGTTGAAATCATCCACCAGTAGACAATATCTCCCAGGCTAAGAAACCCTGGTTTATATAATGGGAATTACAATTTTCAATTTTTTTTTTTTTTTTTAGAAATGAAATTACGGGGACTAAAAGAATTAAAGACTTTCTTAAAAAACAAATTAAATATCTCGAGATAGGACAAAACATAAAACAGATGAACCAAAAATGGTGTATCAGTTTTACACTGAACAAGCACTTGGAACAATAAACACATAATTGGTGAGACTTCTTAACACAAATGAAGAACACAATGAGAACACCATAGTTACCTTATCAGTTTCAATTTCAGCAATAACATCATCAACAGCAACAGCATCACCCACAGCTACAAGAAAAAAAGAGGGAGTTAAAATATTGTTACCATTGTGGTAAAAAAATAAGTACATCCCATTTCCCCTCTCACTTGTAGCCATCCACTATAATGTTTTCAGTGCTAAAGATGAATTAGTCAAATAAAGTCCTTTGTCCAGTTAACTGATGTTTCTACCACAATTAAGGATTGAGGGTTACTAACACTATTTTGTTTAGTTTGTTGTATATAAAATTGTAATCATTGTAAATTTATTCCATACTGACCATAGACAAATTGTACATATGGGGACTAGTTAGGACTTCATAGAGACTCTGAGGTATTATGGTGGGTGAAGTAAGAATGGTAAGAATATGTCATTTTGTGGTATGTTTGGGTCAGCAACTGTGACTAGATGAGTTTAATTATAAGACAAAGACTAGCCTTCCCCCCCATACCCTCCTTTTGGCCTTGTGCCACATTTTTGGTAAACTTACAAAAATAAATATCATTAGTCAAATAATGCTTCTACTGAGAGTTGTTACTAGATTACAAACATTTACCGACAAAAATACAATGAATCAATCTACATCTTTCTTCTAAAACTGCCAGAATTCCTCCCGTAGACAGAAATAAGCAGCAGGTGGCCTGGAGAGCCAAGCCACCTCCCCTACGAGAAGTTATCTTGAAGAACATTAAATACTTGTGTACTGCTACACCAGCAACTGTAGGGATTTCCACATCCATTCCTGGAGAACGGATCTAGTTTTATCATTCCCAAACCCATGGATAGATTGTTTGAATGACTACCATATTAATTTTATTAATCGTCGTTTCATCACCAAGCTATTCCATTTCAGCTCAAATATTTGTCTCCAATGTTATCTTTATTGGATTTAGGAAGTGCTTTGATATCATTAACCTAAGCAAATAGTCCATAACAACACAAAGGAATCAACAATTGTACTAGTTCCTAAGCAAAATCAAAATACTATGAAAACAAAATCTTTTAAATATCAGTCAAACAAGTGAGCTGAGTCCAATATCTTGAATTTTCTCTTGCAAATGGTCAGTAGCAGAAGGACAAGCATAGTTTTTCTATCGTAGAATCTGTCATGAAATGGTCAATAGCCAAAAAAACTGGCAAGGCTTTACTACTGTACAAGTCTTCATATAATAATCAGTACCAAATTGACAAATATGGTTTTCTATTGTAAAATTGTTTTTTTTTTTTTTTTTGTTTTTTTTAAATGCATTTTTTGCAAAATACACAATTTTTGTTTGGCATAAAAACAGACCAAAAATGGGAAAATAATAAATGGCAAATAAACTGTAATCAGAAAATTTGATTTAAGATTCACATTATAACTTTCACACATACAACACCACTCACAGTCTCTTTTAGATAATCAGTAATTTACAGAAATTTTGAAATAAATTTTGCAGCCCTTATTTCAATTAACCGCCTTACTTAGAACGATTACTTCACTATTTATGTAAATGTAAAAACAGTCTTGGCAATAATATAAAGGACTGATGGCACTGTTGATTATGTACAGCTATTTTATCTAAATAATGCACTAACTACTGTTTGCGTCCTGTGGCAATAATTGTAAGTAAAATGAACTAAAATAAGTAACTATGTAATCGTTTTTTAATAATCTGAATATTAGAGCCAAAAATAAAGTTATTTTCAGTTGTAATTTCTTGAAATGTGCTATTTTACATGCAAAATATATGGTTACAGCTGAAAAAAATTTTAATCATTCTCTATTCTACAGATGTAAGACATTGTTGAATAATTTCCTATAAGCAATCATTTCTGTAGACAATAAGAATTAGAAATACATTATTTTCACTATTATCCTTTTATTACTAGTTTTATGTCATCTTATTATTGTTGCTTTTTAGCTGAATTCATTTTCACTATTATTCTTTTATTAGTAGTTTTATGTCATCTTATTGTTGCTTTTTAGCTGAAGCATTTCCAATATTATTATTTCATTACTAGCTAATAATAATAATGTTGTATTCATAGATCAAAATAATAATAATAATAATGTAAAAAAAAAAATAAATTTCACCAACATTGTTAGGAAAGCTACTTTAAGTTTTCAAACATAATTCCACTTTTTATCGCCCTCAAAATGATTGTTTAAATAATCAATACGTTTTTAAGAAAATTATTTTGGAATGTAAAAAACAAAACAAGTAGACATGCACAATTCACATATTTTATTTTAACAATGCATTCCAAACTTATTTTCATAGTCTTTGCATTTTTGAAATGATTACTTTAATGTTTTTGCTTTGGTTTCTTATAAAAGAATTCCAAATTTTCTATGACTGACCATGACTTTTATTGTTCAAGGAGACAATATCTCTGTGTATGAGAATAAGCTTTCAGTTTGTGATATTCCTAATTATGCTACTTCCTTCCAGCATATTATACAGCCAAAATTATTCTGTTTGCTTAACTCTGTTCATGCACAGATGCATAGATTTAAAAATTAGGAAAATTAATGACAAAGTGGGAAATTTTTTTTCAGTGATGTATTTCATCCTTTAGGACTTCAATGGTCTAAAGTGATATTTATGCACACCCACAAAGTTTAGAAGATGTTAAAATTTTAATCTTTCAAATGTAATTCTTTTTTTTTTTTAAATATGTGCTTGGGTATATTAGTCTAACCACTTTTATTTATTTTTCTTTATATTTTAGAGTGCTTTTGTTATTGAGTATCCTGCATTGTGGTAATAGGGGATTTGCCAAGAAAAGTGAAATATTGTAAGAACCTCGATGCAAATTTTTAAAAAAATTATTGAGCAGTTTAATAGGTTTGGTTTGTTTTGTTTTATGGCATATCAAAATGTTATTTAATGCCAACAAATTTTTTTTGTTATTTAATAAAGAACGAATTTGTAAACAGTCACTATTATTGCTGATAATGCAAGACTCTTCTAGCAAAGATTTGAGTTCTTCTGATTGACTGCTGTGTTTATGAAAAAATAAATATGCAAAAATTGGCCTCTCTGCCAGGTGTCAATGGCCTAGGGGCTAGAATCTCTGACTAATACCAAATTTGTCAGGTTTTGGTCCCAGCCTGAAGCGATTGAACGTTAAGCTACACTGATGAGCTGTGGAACAGCGAAACAGTCTATCTGTGGATGACTATATATATATATATATATAAATATACTTATGAATAAGAAAGTATTCGTTGTAACAAAACCACTTTGTAAATCAAGTTTCATTAACACTTTTGCAAAGAGGGCTTCTGTCAAGGGACAATTACATTGCAAGTATTATTCTTTCTTTTGATATAGAATTTTGGGCATATTTTTACTCTCTACAGATCCAGTTTCCTAGTTTTATTACTGCAAATAGGATTCATTTTTTATCAATGATCTGGCTTTGTAGATAGCAGTTTACTAGTACAAAAGTATATAGGAAGTGCTTTAATCACAAGATCATCGATAGTAAATTTGTGTCCAAGTTCTTACGTTGTTTCACATTTCTTGGAAGATCTTCTATTATCATGTTATATATCCAAGAACATATTTAAAAAAAATTTAATTTAAAAGTTCGAAATTTCAATGTCTACTCACCTTCATATACATAAATTAATTTGGTAAATTTTTTTTTTAAATTTGCATCCAGGTTAAATTTTCAGCATTTTCTAAATTTTGCGTGCATTTGTAAGTTACATCAATATAAATATCACTTTAGTCCAATGAAGTCCTAAATGATGAAACACGTCACACAAAATTTCCCCCCCACTTTGTAAAGACAAAAGTGGGAAAAAAATTTCCTAACATTGTTCTGGTATGTAAAAATTTATATATGTCATTTTCTCCCGCATTTTGATATGTATAAAAGAATTTGACTGACAAGATCAGTTCGTTTAATTTTTTTTTTTTTTTTAGATTTTTCCAGTTTGTGTCTAAGCAGTTGCACATGCATGCAAAGACCTAAGTGCTACTGTCTGTAAATAACAATGCCTTCATATGTAGATAAAGACTGTAAAGAGGTCTTTTACTTTTCAGTCTTATTGATGTCACCCCTTTCTCATTGAAAGGTGCAAGGACGTATTTAGAATCAGAGAATACACAATGATAACAAGAATAGTTATGGAGAGATAAAAGTGTTCAGTTTGTGAGAGAAGATGAAAAAAAAATTCTCTCGGCTTCAAATCACACAGAAAAAGATTTCTTGCTACCGTCTTTGATGATTATTCAATGAAAGAATAGAATTTGGAGAAAAAAAAAAAAAAAAATTAATAAAATAAAAATAACACCTTCACCAAGCAGTTGGTTTCCATTTAAAAATTCTTTTATAATTCATCTAGTCATTCAACTTCTATAAGCCAAAAATTATCTTCATTTTTTTTTTCTCTTCTCTCCCTAGACAGAATTGGTGACTGAAATAAAAAGCCATCTTTAATGACCGGTAAAAAGTAATTGATAACTATACTTCTTTAATATATCAATTGGTTAGAGGACAAAAGACAAAAAATATCAGACTAAAATTATTTCTTCATCTTTATTCTGCCACTTATTATTCTATGCTTAAAAGATTCCTTTATTTGTTAGGAGCATTTCTTTGGCCCATTCCAACTCAAGGGCAGAAACATACAATGGTAATAATTTGGGACATCAAAAGATGAAGTTTTCAGTAAAACTGAGTGCAACACATTTCAGTAAGCAAAATGCAAATGAGTTAAGAATTATTTCCAAAATCAAAACACAAAAGGGGACAAAAAACATTTCCTTCTGGAAGACAAAGGGAAACAAGAACCATTTTTAGAAATAGGATTAGATTCAACTGTTCACATTTAAATAAAAACAAAGAAAAAGAAAAATCACCAACAAAAGTTTCCTTCCATTCTTTTACAAAATTTGTGAATTAAGTCGAACTTTAAAAATATATTTTTCTTCTCAAAGAAAACAAAGCTGACTGCTAACTCTAATAGTTAGTTTTGTTTTTTTCCTAAACTTCCAATAATCTGAATCTTTCAATAAATGGTAAATTTGCACAACCAGAAATAATTTTTTTTTTCCATATTACTATTTGGATTAAGCACTTTAGATCACAGATATAAAAAAAAATTCTATTAAATTTTATTAAAATTAATGGGGGAGGAGACCATTTTGCTATGTAAATAGTTGCCCCCAATGAAAGCCAAAACAAAATATGCACATACCACGCAATATCTTAAAACATAAAATAATTTGAAATGTGTAATCTGAAATGTTTAATAAAATATGAAAAGAGAAGTCAAAATTATGAATATAAAAAAAATCATGTCATATGAGCATATTTTGTTTTGTCTTCTGTAGCAGGGATCAATTTACAATGAATTTATATAGCAAATTGGACCCTTTATTATCTTTCATAAATTTAATTTAAAAAATCTGGATCACTTTTCCATATTTATATTAATATGGAAAAAATTTTGAAAAAAAAAAAAAAGTGATTATTTTTGGTCACAGCAGCTATTTGTGACCAAAAATAATCGCTTTTTGTTTTTTGTTTTTTATTTTTCAAAACTCCACCCAATAAATTTTTAAAATACAGCAACTTGTTAGTTTTTTGAATTTTTGAAAAAGAAAATCAAGTAAAAGTCCCAAGACATTTTAAAAAGACAAAAAGCTCAAAATAATATAACGGAAATAAAATAAAAAAAAAAGGACTGTCAATCACAATTCAACATTTAATGAAGTCTTAACTATTCCTCTACTTCTATGCGCCGTGTCCATTTAGGATGTGGGCGATCATGGTCCGCCACAACTTCCTGTTTTTTGTAGCTCTTAGCAGTGTTTGCTTTTTTGCTATCTCTCCTAATCCCTGTTTTACCAACCAAAAGCAGCATTACACAAGCTTGGTAGGTAGGGTATTCACTGCTTTCTTTCGTCCTTTTTGCCTTTAACATGTCCTGTAAGTGTCAAATTTTCCACTTTTTTTTTTATTATGTACCCTAGAAATTTCAAATGCCTCTTTCCATTCCTAAGTAAGTGTCCTTTTTGTTTTCATTTTCTCTAAAAATTTGTTGTTGTCATTGCATTGTCACATGTTTGGCCCATGGTATTCTCAGCATCCTTCTGTAGAACTACATTTCTGTCACCTCAAGTCTCTTCATCATCTCAGAGGAATATAGGAGGACCAATATTACATAACAGTTCAATACACTTTTCTTGTGTTTCTGGAAAGATTTTCCTGTATCTTAATGCTTTGCTTAACTTCTAGAAGGTATCAACACCATGTCATTGGCAGATCTTCTTGTTAAGATTGTGGCTGCCAATAATGAATCCTGGACAGACTACTATTATATGGAAGCAATTTTTTTGGTCTCCTCATTTTTTAAATAACTTTCCAAAAAACAGCAGCTTAATATTTTCAGTGGTCGAGAAAATGAATGAACTACAAAGTTCTTTGGTTTTTCTTTTTTTAGCACTTTTTGAATTTTAAAAATGAAATAATTTACACTCTTCTTAAGTAAAAAATACAGAAAAAAGACATTATTATTTCATTTTTTTAATTATTTTACCCCAAGTAAGGCAATAATGCCACTAAGATGCAAGGGGTTATTGAGAGTGAAAGAGAATGAGAAGATATTAGGGAGGAGAAAGGATAATAAAAGGAAAGCAGAAGATGGATACTGATGTTGCATTTAAATTTTTGAAGAACAAAGTTTGCAGGAAAGCAAGAAACCAGAAGAGTTCTGCAAGTGAAAAAAGAACAAACTATTAGAATAGAACTTATGATTACATCTAGCCATTTCAACAGTAAAAAGATGAGACCTATCAGCCAATTTAGTAGTATGCTTAAATTCATGCAATCAAGGTAACAAGTAGGACAGCTCATTAGAAAAATTGCCATGAAAATATTAATAGAAAAGACAGAGGGAAGCTACATCATGGTGGTGCGAAAGTGACTGAAGTTGAGGTGCCAGGTCAGAAACCAATAATATTACAGAGCCTTCTTTGGATTTTATCAAGAATCTAGAGATACATTGAATCAATAGCTTCATCTACTGCAAGGAAAGTTGGTTCTCTGTGTCACACCCGAAGGTTTTTCTCGTCCGAGTCCATCCTTCAAATTTACAAATCTACCATTCATTCTTGTATTGAATACTGTTGCCATATATGGTCTGGTACCCTCGCTGTTCATCTCGAGGTCCTCAACAAAATCCAGAGATGGATATGCAATGTGATAGGTCCTGATCTGGCATCTCGTCTACAGTCACTTACTCACAGATGTGCTGTGGCTTCCCTGTATTTTTTCTATAAATATTTTCATGGTAACTGATCTGATGAGCTACTTTCACTGGTACCCCAACTGTGTGTATTTAAGCATGCTACTAGGTATCTTGGTCCCACCTTCTCGCTGTCGAAACAGTTAAATGTAACTGCCTTTTTTACTCCAACAGCTTCGTCTCTCACACTTCCCAACAGTGGAACTCCCTTCTTCCTACTTGATTCCCTGATAGCTATAATCTTCAAATATTCAAATGTAATGTCAATTGACATCTTCTGATGACTTCCCAATCCCGTCCTTATCTATATCCTTTCCTCAAACAACCCTCTTTACTCTTGCTCTCACTCTCTGTAACCCCTTGTGTTCTAGTGACACTCCTGCCTTGCTTGGGGTGAAATGCTTAAAATAAAAAATTAAAATCCAGTATTAATTCTAGGATTAAAAAAAAAAAAAAAAAAAAAAAAAAAAATCGGTATTATATATTTATAAAAAATCTGGTAAATTTTTAGTCTTTCTATAAAAAAAGACATTATTAATTTTAGGTTTAAAAAATTCCAATAATCATTTTAACTTTTATTAAAAGAAATCCATAATAATTCTACATTTATCCAGTATGAATTTTATGTATATAAAAATTCTGGTATTAATTTTATGTGTATAAAAAAAAAATCTGCTATTAATTTTCGGTTTATAGAAATTTGGATATTAATTTTATATTTATCAAAAAAGCTATGATTCTATGTTCATAAAAAAAATCCGATATTGATTCTATGTTTATAAAATGATTGTATTATTAATTCAATGTTTATAAAAAGAATCAGATATTAATTGTACTTTCATAAAAAGAAATCGTTATTAATTATATGCTTATAAATAAAAATACGCTATAAATTCTATGTTCATAAAAAACTCCAGTATTAATTCCATGTTTATAAAAAAATCTGGTATTAATTCGAGGTTTACTAAAAATTTGGTATTAATTCGAGGTTAGAAAAAAAATCAAAAAAAAAAAAATCTTCTGATGCCTTGATCTCAATTCATGTCCTTATCTCTATCCTTTCCTCAAACAAGCCTCTTTAATCTTGCTCTCACTCTCTGTAACCTGTTGCATGCTAGTGCCACTCCCACCTTGCTTGGGGTGAAATTATTTATAAAAAAAAAAAAAAAAAAAAAAAATGGCTGGAACACCAGACCAGATGTGGCAGAAATATTCAATGCACGGATGAATGGTAGATTTATAAATACACAAGATTGATCCCAGTGCAAAAAAATTGTTCGATAAGCAACAGGACCTCACATTTGATTGAATATAATCCATCCACTTCATTCCAGTGTAAAACATGAGACCAAGAAGGTGCAATGAGCTGCTCTCCTGAAGGTTAACATCAGCCATATTGATGGAAGGTAAAAAGGTTCTCTCTGATAGTTCAATATGATCAACTTCTGTGGGTTCAAGATACAAAATAGAAAGAAAATACAGTTTAGAAGAGAGAGAAAAAAAAGGGTTCAATAGAAAAGACTTACCTTTCACCCAAATAATATCACCTTCTGTCACCGACTCAGCAAAATGAGGAGTATTTACAATATGATATTCATCATCTGAAAATGAAAAAAAAAAAAAGAGAGCTCATCACAACATCTGTACAACCAGATGAACAAGATCATACAGTTTACTTTCTTTATTATTTTAAAGCATGAAAATAGCGCAGTATGACATAATTAAATAAAATAAGTGTCTATTTCTTTAACCTTTTTATTGATTCTTCTTTGTCGTACATTTTAATGAGAACGTATGATCAAATATCTCGTAACATTTACATTGTTTATTCAACTCTGAATTTTGTCAACTGCTGTCAGTGAGTGGGTGTGTGGACCATGGACATTTCCCAAATGTGGATTCTACATCTTGCCAGACTTATGGCCACATCAATGCTGAAATACTGGTTCCCCATACAATCAACAGAGTTAAGCAACATCAAGCATAGTCAGTACCAAGTTAAGTGACCATTTAGAAATACCAAGTGCTGTAAGCTTGGATGTGTTTGTGGTGTACTGGATAATAGCTTGGAATTGTTAATTTGGAGAACTGAGTTTCAGTTCCAGTTGGGTTCATTATATTCACTTATGCACAAATACACTTGGGAAAGGCATGAATCCACTTCTTCTCCTCTCAGCTATGAGTTAATTCTTCTTTATGTGATATGTCTCTCAGGACATTGGCGATCATGGCTCTCCACAATTTCCCGTCCCTTGCAGCTCTTAATAAATTTTGTTTTTCTGTTATTTCTCCTAAGTACTGTTCCACCATCCATAGACACAAGCTCACTAAGTATGTTATGCATTGTTTTCTTCTGTCCTTTTTGCCTTCAATCTATCCTATGAGTATCAGATTTACCCAGCCTTCTTTTCTCACTATGTGCCCTAGAAACCCCAATTGTCTCTCCTTGATGTTAAGTATACGTTTCCTTTTTGTTTCCATTTTCTCTAAAACTTTGTCATTGCTCACATGTTCCGTTGATGGTATCCTCAGCATCCTTCTGTAGAACCACATTTCTGTTGCTTCAAGTCTCTTTTTCATATTTGATTGTCCAGCACTCCCTGTCATACAGGAGGAACACATCACATAACAGCTTAGTACTCTTTTCTTTGTTTCTAGCAAAGTTTTTCTATTTCTTAGTACTCCGCTTAGCTTTAGGAATGCATCTTTGGCTACCCCAATATGTCTTCAGATTTCAGTCACACTTCCTGTTAAAATGCTTCCCAGATATTTAAATTTCTAAACTCGTTTGATGCCGGTATCTACAATTTGCAATTCACACTTTAGGCCCATCTTTTTGCTAACAACAAGTCAATTAGTAAAACTTATCACTAAACCATTATAATCTGTAAAAAAGAAAAAAAAATTCTTACAATCTAAAAACATTTTCTGGCTTTAAATAACCAAACAAATCAGCCAATCTACATTTTGCTAGGATTTGAGAGACTCTTCTCACTATCGATATATTCTTGTATTAGTTTGAACTACTGTTCTTGTCCTTTATGATATAGATGTTATTATAGACCCAACGTTTTGACCAAATACTCACTGGTCATCATCAACACCAAATAAGAAATTGGTATTACATTAAGTTGAAGAACCATAATGTAGGAGAATCCATATCATAATAAAAGTAAGGAGAGTTTCAAGAGAGAGAACAGGATTAAAAGGGGGCACACTTAGCATTTTCTGAAGACATGAACTAGTTGAATGTTTCTGGAGAGGATACAAATAAGGAGAAAACTTATACTTAACATCAGGAAGAGGCAGCTGAAATTTCTGGGATAATGAGAAAGGAGGGCTTGGAGAATCTGATAATCACAGGATGGATAGAGGGAAAGATAGCCAAGGGAAAGCAACACCTAATGGGCTTAAGCAAGTGGATGACAGAACAGGGTTTGGAAGAAGTAACAAAAGGAGAAAACATATTGAGAACTACAAGGGATAGGAAGAAGTGGAGAGTCATGATCGCCTACATCCTGAAGGGACATGGAACATAAAAGAAGTAGAAGAAGAAGGTTTACTTCAGTTATCAGCATCGGGAATAGGGTATTGATTGATTCTTTTTCTATGGCTTATTAACCCTTTACAGATTATTTAAAGCCAGAAAATGTTTTTAGATTGTAAGATTAATTTTAAGATAATAATTCCTCAGTGATACAAGTCTTACTAATTAACCTATAGCTGAGGAAAGTGATGGGTTCATGCTTTTTTTCAAGTGTATTTGTGCCTAAGTGAATATAACGAACCCAACTGGAATCGGAACTCGACTCTCCAATTAACAATTCCAAGCCATTATCCATTACAACAGCTGCACATTCAAGCTTAGAGCATCAATTATTCCCAAGCAGTGACCCATCTAGGTACTGACTGGTCTTTACGTTGCTCAACTTCAGTGTAATAGTTTAGGGTAATAAATACTCCCATTAGCACTTAGCAGTCTGTTTCATTTATAAGTATTACTTATCCATTTCCTGTATATGGAATCACCTCAAAATATAAAGTTTTATATGTTACTTCTATATATTTGAAATTGCAGTAGCCTGACTCTCCATTTCATTCAAGATTCAAATTCAACTTGCATTGGCTGGACTAACATTTTGTTTGGTAAAAATAATCACCTAGCAAGTGCTAAAGGTTTTAAATAAGTTATGATTTAAAAAAGAAAAACAATCATAAGTGAAGAATGACATGATATAAATTATGACATATGACAATGACTTAGCATCAATGTAGATTAAGTAATCATAGTTAAAGGATTCTATTGTTTCTCTGGAGCAGATACAAAAAGCAACTTGTCAAAAAATTACATAACCAGTTGACTTTAAAATAATACATTTTTATACATTCTTTTGTTCTCCTTGTTGAAATTAAATCATCTTGAATTCAACTAAAAGAAGATTTAGGATCCCTACAAAAGTTCTTTTCATGCTGTCAGAGCAGTTAACGCTCTTAAAAAGTCACTTTTGAAAACAAAAACCCCTACATTTCAAATTTAACATGAATTTTTTAAAAACTTTCATGTAATCTAAAGCAAATTAATTTTATTTGTACATCAACCCAAGATATAACCTATGATAAGTACAAATATATAATTATAAAAAGTTACAAGTAAAGCATATTAAAATATTTTGAAGGTTACCGACTCGCCGTCCAGTGTAGCAAGATGTGAGACAAGCTCTTTTTAAATTTGGGGCTGTCTTTGGCTAACCCTGAAGAAATTGTCCAGCCTCCATGATGACTATCCCGCTGACATCAATATTCCACTACCTCTCCATCTTTTGATTCAATGAATGAGGTGCTAAAGCCAGGTTGGAATCCCTGGGACTCCATTAATTAGAAGGAGAACAGATAATATACATTGGTCCCAATGAAAAACCTACTTAAATCTATAAAATATTTTAAAGTAGGATTAATTTAATAAGGTACAGACATACAACTCTTTCAGTATATAAAAACAATGTTACACAACTTTTCATCTATGAATTCCCTCACTGGAGATTAACTAGTTTTTTATTTTTTCTTGTTGAGTGATTTGTTTTTTACAGCTTGAGCTGAAAGTGCTCAAAAATGCATATTTTTGGACAGTTTTTGTACACTTTGTGTCCAGAAGAGGAAACATTTGTACGAACACAAATTGTTTTTAATGAAACATATATAAAACAGGGATTGCTGCTAAAATACAAATATATATATATATATTGTATATATATATATATATATATATATATATATATATATATATATATATATATATATATAAATTTAATTAAGGAAACAGACAACCTTAAGGATCCATTGATTATATTTTATTTCCCCAGGAAGGTGGTCTTTTCCTGGTTCCTCAGATCACATTTCAAAGTGTAAAAAAAAGATGGTTTTAAATTTATGTATTATTTTCATAAACTTTTGAGGGGCAGTTTTAAGTTGATGTAAGGTGATAGAGAAAGGTGGAGGAATAGGAGGAATTTAAATATAAAACCTAAAAAATTCTAAATAGTATCGAAAAAATATATAATGCGATATTGAAAAGCATACTGAAATGAAAAAAATATATATATATCGAAAAACATTTTAAAAAGAAACAAAATTTAGAAATAATATTAATATTATTATAATATCGTAATGATGATAATAATAAAAATATTAATAATAAAACTACCAATGAGAGGAATAATTATAATAATAATCAACTAATGATAATACCAATGAGAGGAATAACAGTAAAGACATAATGATGAAACGGTAATGTTAGATTAGTTATAACCCATTTAACCATATATATTCTAGCATATATGTACATATAAACATACACATATACAAATACCTATATACACACACACACACACACACATATATAGATATATAGATATATATATATTGCAAATGTTGTGCACATTTGGAAGATAAGTGCAAATTTGTAAACAATGACTACTACTACTAATATTACAAGGCCCTTCCTTGAAGAGAGCAATGTCAGTTATTGGCGTGTTTATTCACAGAGTAAGTACGTAAAAATTTAATTTCTTTCAACCATGTGCCAATGGCATCAGTCGAGTTTTGATCCCAGCTTGAAGCAATTTTGGATGTCTAGTCACACTGATATGCTGTGAAACAGTCTGTACATATATATATATATATATATAGTACACACACACACACATATATATATATATATATATAATTATTATTTTTAAATATGATTCCATCGCTACATAAGAGTTTGCATGTTTCAAAATCAGAAGCTAAAAACTTCAATTTAATTATAGAAATTAAATCAAATTAAAGTACCTAGTTCTGTTTCATCCTCAAGTGAATTTTTGAATAACAAATTTTGAAATTTATGGAGCTTTATAAGCATATACATTCGTAATATTAATTTCTATGGAAACAGAGAAAACCGATCATTTTAAGAAGGGGCGATAGGGTTTACATTTTCACTGATAACTATTGTCTCAACATGTTAGTTACTTCCGAAAAGAGGTTAAGCCTATTTCCAAGCAAATGATGACATCCGTTCAGCGCATATCGTCTGGTCTATTTCAATGACTGAGTTTTTGGC